CTCCAATCAAATTTTGGATCCAACAGGTAGCAGATTATTTTCTGTAACCTTTCTATATTCTGCTTTAATTGGGACATCTGGCAGGAATCTAACGTTAAACAACAAGTCCAAACAAAATTAAATCATTGAATTCAAATGAGGTCAATCCTTTTTGTACACACTTTTCATTAGATCAAAAATACTAATGTGATGTAGTGATTATGCTTCTGGTACTAATTGTTTTAATACAGTTTAGAGTCTCAAACTATATGCTTAATATTTGTCTTTGAAAAAGTCAAGCTTTTCTAGCACTTTTTTTTCCAAATAAATAATTGGCAAAACAACATTTCTAGTCATGGCATTGCAATTATGATAAGAAATGTTCGATAAGCACAAATGCTCCCATGTTCTGTCAGGGATGAATAGCAAATACAGATGAATTAAAGATCAAAGGAAGGTTTTTGAGTTATTTCTGCAATGGCAGTGGAATAGTCTTATCATAAAGTCATCCTTCTAATTTGAAACGGCTGACTGTACGAAGGGGTGCTTGTGTGTCTGGTTAATTATTAGGAAATTAAAATGCTAAGGAATTAATTAGAATAATTTACTGGACAAATAATGGTCAGTGCTGCTACTATAGAACATGTAAAATTCATTTTATGAATAAACAGATCACTTATAAAATTAGAACTTTATCTTCCACATTTCTCAAGTGTACAAAGTGTAATTACTGTCCCTTTTTCAGCATGTTTCATCAAGCATATGCATTGGCTATCACTATGCTTCTCTCTCTCACTCCCTTTCCTCGTGTTTTCTTTTTTTAAACTGTTTTTCCCCAGTTGTCTCCCAGTGGAGGTGTTTGAGGGAGGATCTGTGTCGCCAGTTAAATGGGCCATGTGAGTCAGTGCGATTTCATTAAGTGGAAAATCAATGCCTAGCAGATCCTCTTTAGCCTGTAAAAATGGGAAATCTTGTTCTCGTCAACAAGCATCAGTCCCTTTTTTCATACGCTGAAATTACTGATCTATTGTAGCTGCATCTAAAAAATAATAAAAATAATACTCAATATATGAGCTCATAAATGCCCAGCAAGAACACAAATGATTGTGGAAGGCAGTCCATTTGGTAGACGTATTTGGATAAAGAGTCATCAAGGAATCAAGGATTTTTAATGACCACAGAGAGTCAGGACCTCGGTTTTACTCATCCAAAGGATGGTTGATGCTTTTATACAGTATAGTGTCCCCATCACTATGCTGGGGCATTAGGACCCACACAGACCCCAGGGTGAGCGCCCCCTACTGGCCCCACTAACACCTCTTCCAGCAGCAACTTTAGCTTTCCCAGGAGTCTCCCATCCAGGTACTGGCCAGGCTCACACCTGCTTGTGAGTTGCAGGGTGATATAGCTCTTGCTAGACAAGGGGGTCTCCAAATCACTAGCTTATTTGTAGTCATTTGGAATATGACTGAAATAATGTAATGTGCAAGTCTGCAATTTCCAAAGTCTTATTAGAATGGTAATAGCAATTCAGAAAGAAAATCATAATGATCTTGAATTGCTTTTGATTTAAGTACGGGTGACAGCTATTTCTATTGAATAGATGTTAGGAATGCTAAGCACTTCATCCTCGAGTTCCTATGCTGCCCATTAATTCTCACTCTATTTATATTAAGTATTCTTTATTCCACTGGAAACAAACAGGTGAAAATGAATCTGAAACATCTTTTGATACTTTCAGATTTAAAAGAAAAAGCTGCTGGGTTCATAGAAAGAGTCATTTACAGTACATCATGGGTACGTTGCCACAATGTCTGTAAGGAGTTTGTGGGCTCATTTTCTCAAATAATCCACCAATGGTACATTGATAGTAATTCATGTACACCTACACTTCTTGTAGGTAATTAGGTACATTAGATATGGAAATCAGCCGTTTTGTAATGTGTGCACACAGTGTAAATACAGTTCATCTCATTAGGAAGTTCTCATTAACCAACCACGTTTCTTTTCTATCTACTCAGTTATAATAATTGTTTTCTCCTAAGCAGTGCACACACAAAAGGAATGACATATGAATTCATGTACTGTGGGGATCTGCTTACTTGAAAATTAAAATTAAATAAGGATGCTCCACATCTCCTCGTTTTGATCACTATTGCACAGAATTATAGTATAAAAACGAAGTCAGTGACAAAGTTAGATCACCTCTTCAGCTGATAAAGAGAAGTTCTGTATTTTTTACATCTGTTGGGCGCCATTTTCTATACACCTCCACTTTAATTGTTAAATCAAATTGATTTTATTGTACCTGCTTTGCATCAGCATGCAGTAGAGGAGATATTGAACAGTTCTCTGAAACACGCACTTTTCACAGCAATTTGGCAATTTTAATCTTGTGAGGAGTATAAAAATGCCTTTAGGAGAATTAGCATCAAGGTGTGATTTTTGAGTCATTAATGAGGTCTAACCAGGCTAGAAAAGTCACGTGTAATAGGAACTCAGCACAGGGGATGTGCAGGGTCCAATACAAGCTTTTTAAGTAATTGTGATGCAGTTTTTTGTTTCCTCATGTCTATCTTATTTCTACTTTGCCCACTCACAGTGCGGCTGCAATACGGGCAGATTCCAAAGAAACACTGGACTCCTCTGTCTCCCTGTGGAGAACATCTCCCAGCATGTCTGCCAGACTCTGGGAAACAAAGCAAAGAGAGTACAATCATGTGAATGTCAGGTTGCAAGTAAGATGAAGTCATTTGGTTCACCTTGCTGGTATGGTCATGCAACCATTTCTTGGAGGATCACAGGGAATTAATCTGGCACTCTGTCCTTCTTTCAGGAAATTGTCTCTTGGGTTGACACATTGAACTTGTTTTGCTCCTTTAATCTATCTGTAAAAGAACAGACTAGGAATCATTTTGTTGCTCCTCTTTTAACTCTTTGACTCTGAGGCTTTAATATCCTTTTATGTGGTATGATGGCCATAACTGAACACAATTGTCTCAATCAGAGATCACTGTTACAACCCCTCATTTTAAAGTCCAAACGTTTTGCTACGTACTTAAGCATTCTGTTTATATCTTTACAGAATACAGCTTATTCCCCGTGTAGTTTTGAAAGCTCCTTGCACAGACGTGGGTGAATTTTATTTTTGAAATAATGAGAATTACCATTATTGCACATAAAGGTCCCTCAAATTATTGCCTACAGTACCTCATTAAGGTAATTTGGTGTGGTTTGTCATGGCTGTAACCTTTAACACAACTAAATGTGAAGACTGCACAAGTTTCTGGATACTTTTGTAAGGTGCTGTATTCCTATAATGTCACAGTTTATTCTTTGTATTTCTAGCGGTATAAGAGTTTAAAAATTGATGTATTATTTATTTTAAAGTCTAGAAAATCCAGAATACATGGTGCTATATTAAATCTTGTATACTGTATATGAGACCTCTTCCACACAGTTGTCTGTGAATGGGAAATATTTATTGAATACTAATGTGAAATTATTATTTAGGATTTTTTTTTACATGTATCATTCTAGAATGGATTCATTAACTTACAGGACTGCTATACAGTATGTTATATGTTACTGTAAAATTCAAAATGGTGTTTATCCTCGTTTCTCCACAGACTATAATTACTGAAACTGTAGATAAGCAATGTACCTGAACAGTAATCCTAAATCATTATACCTAATTTCATTAGTTCATACTGAAAAAAACTGTTACAGTCTAACTACCCTGCTTTCCAACTGAATAATGACACTGTTGTAAAACAGCTGTTGCAATAGCAAAAAGCCACTAATGAATGGCAAATGATAAACCACGGGTTTGTTGAGGTTACCTTCAAAGAAATGGAAACCGCAAATCTGTAGAAATGAAATGAGTCACTGTCCAATTTACTGTAATTACTCGTTCCACTAATTATTAAGATAACACTATTTATCTTTTTCAAAACTTTATTTTCAGAAATAAAAGACAGGCAATGAAAAAAATAAAAATGAGAGCCTTCATCTAAAATATATCCTTTACAAACGGTCTGATTTTTGCTTTAGTGGATATTTTATTTTCTGAAAGAAATATTTTTCTGTAATACAATAGTATATTTATATATAGAGAGAGATTTTTAAAGAAGGTGGAAAATGTATTTAACTTTATTCATCATAATTTTAGGGCACATTGTGAATATTTTGCAGGCATTTTAATTTTGTGACATGGAAAAACCTTGAAAATTCCATCAGTAAGAAAAATACATGACTTAAAAGTTCTCAATTAGATTTCTGCTCTAAAACCTTGAACTGTCTAGCAGCCTTCTTGGTAATGCAGAACAGGCTGCTCAAGATGTTAACACCATGACTATTTCACTGTATAGACACACTGACTGCAGCATAAAGGTTAATCAATTGCCATAAAAATCAGCTAGTGCAAACCTAAATGAATGTGTTTTTTTTTTTATAAAGGTCACCCTTATAATGAGATTCTGTTACCCTGCCTCATGATATAATTGTTTTGAGCAGGTTCTGACTGCTAATTTCAATTCACTGAGATCTCCAATGACATTTTGCTCTTTATATTCAAGTTGGGAAAGTCTTCATCTCTCCCTCAGGCACAACGTAAAATGGCACTACCACTGAAGCCCTCATTTGTGCCACTGAGAGTCTGAAACATGTCTGCTACAGTGCCTATAGGCAGACCTGCCTGTCACAACCAGTGCAGACGGGCTGGTAACTTTCCTGTTTTCTTTGGATGTGTCCTAGCAGAATCTCCATCAGAAAAAAAACAAAACAAATAATGGTTCAAAACAAATTTAGTAAAGGGGAGTAGAAGAAGAAAGGATTTCAAAGTGTAAACTGCTAGTTGGTGTCGCTTGGGATGTATATACCAGTCGCAATCTCTGGACTGGGACTCTTGTGCTGTGGTAATATTGTTCTGGTAATAATATTCTGTGGTCATAGAGCTAATCAGTTAGAAATCATGTTAATTGCTTTGAGGAAGACTGGCAGTGTAAGTGTATATGTTGCTTTCAAAATCACCAAATGGTGAAAAGTACTGTAGGAAGAGCCTGTAACTTTGTTTCTAGACATATTGGAAAAAGCCACACTATTGGTTCCAATACTCATTTGTTGTGTTTTTAGTTCCCCCAGTACAAGCATAATCAGGAAAGTCCTACACGCATACTGTACAAGTATTGTACTGTAATAATAGATGTGTTCAAAAAGGCAATGTGAAATGAGTTATCCTGCAGGGAGGGGGACGTGCTGCCTGCTCACAACAGTAAATCATTTTCTTTCAGAAACATAATTTAGCATGGGAAGCTTCTGCATTATTAATATGTTTTTAATGAATTTCTCACAATTGAGATTAGCTGCAATATTTCTCGTTATTGCCAATTCGGTGGAGGCCAAATGCCAAATACTCTGAGATGCTTTTCTAGAGAGGTGCAGAAGGATTTAAAAAAAACACACAACTTAAGGAAACAAATTTAAAAAAAATCACCAGTAGTCATTCATGACAGGTGTAAGAGCAGCAAAACCGAGAAACATAACTAGTGGAAAATGCTGTAGTAGTTCAGGTGAAAAATGCATCTTAAGCCTGTTACACATGATGTAAAGGAAACAACAATTAGAACAAAACTGGGGGATCATCTGTATGGCAATAAAATAGCAGGGGATAGAAAACATGGATTTAGGAAAGGTGCAGGTTGTTGTACAATGTACTTCTTGCCCATCTGCGGCCTACCTGTACAGTACCGCATGCTTATCTCACTTACTTTCACGTGCTGCTCAAGAAATGGGATTCTGAGTATTTCAGTGGCACTGGGTCTCTTCTTGGGGTTCTTCTCCAGCAAGCTGCAAATAAAGGAAGAGCACAACCTGCTTATTCGCTGCTCTGCAGGAGGTGTCCATTCAAGCCAGAGGAAATCTGGATGAGCTGAAAGCAGTTCTCTATAGTTCACTTGCTGGAAGTTACCTGCTTAGTCTTACTTTATTTTTTAAAAACGCCTTTATTCCCATTCAATTCAATAATTACATAGAGCTAATCAACTCATCAAAGTCCCACCCTCCTGTCACCCTCCCCAACACATAATATGTAACAGCAACCCCCAGTAATTCAAAAAAGTCATATTTTATTAAGCTAGCAGGCATACCATTGAATTGGAAGGTTTAAAATTTGATAATATCCCAGACTGAAGACGCATGTTACATATAGTGACATTGATCTTCAGGATCTAGCAGTTTCTGTTGCACAATGAAGTGCCAAATACAAATGTGAGCAATATAGTAAATTAAAGTATAAGGAAGCCTTTTGAGAAAGACATGTTCTGTTATTGTTGCCTTTTGGAAATATAAGGAAATTATTTCAAATGTATTGTGTTTTTTTAACGCAAGAGATCATGTGGCAGAAATATGAAAATTATGTTTACCAAGCTTAATGGCCAGTGTTTGGCAAATGGAATTTAGATTTAGAAGTTTGCATTTATTGAAAAATCAAAAAAGAAAACCATGCTAAAATACAGAGGCATCCTGAATGACTGCAAAGACAGTGCAGCCCGTTTGACTTGTATCACTTGTAAGCAGTGATAATGGGGAACCACATGAGTTTTCCTCAAACCAGGAAAAGGAGATAGCCTTAGATAGTCCCAAGTTAATGGGACTTTTATTTGGTCTCTCTCAGCCATACTGAATGTATTCATCTTTTTAATCAGAAGGCAAGTGACACGATCATTAGTTTGACAGAGCCTGTTTTGTAGTACTTATAAGATACATTTATGAGATAATAGGGTCATAGGTACTGTATGTTTCTTTGATGGTTCATAAGATGCACTACAGTATATTAACATCAGTTCCGCTTACAGAACTGCTGTTTCACTTTTGCCTTAAAAACTTTTAAGGGCAAGCAGAGGAGCCTTTGAATATGTTCATAAAAATGAACGTATTCACAAAATATATAGGTTGTATTTCTCCAAGTCAAAAGCGGAAGGTTTTGTACATTGGTTTGACAGAAAAGAACATCTAAAAATGGATACATAGTGTCCAGGCTATATCTGTCCCATCCCTCTACAACACCTGCTGTAACTACAAACTATTTTTCTAATATTTTGTCCCAACATGAAAAATATGGTCAGTTCCCTAGGGGTTAGTTCCTGGCAGACTAAAATAGAAGCAATATCTCAGAGAACAAGGTTACTGTCTAAAAGGACATCCAATGCCACACTGAGCACCATTCTACAGTAACTCAATCATAAAGCAGCACTGGCTGTCCTGCAGGTCCTCCCAAAGTTTAAGGTGGAACCTGAATTATATATCATTGCCAGTTACAGCCATCATTATAGTTGTGAGGACATGGTGAATGAGTGCCTTCAGTCAGGGAAACATAATTAGGCATCACAGTTGCTTGTCTGTAGCTGACCCCAGGATAACACCATCCACAGTAATGATTTTCTTTTACCACAAACAGCAGTCATTATTGCACCAGAAGAAACCCTTTCCTTTCTTCAAATTCTGGGTCTGTTAGGGGCCTATAAATCATTAGTGATTATCTGACTGATGTTCGCTGTTAGATAATGGTGTCACAGGAGTGGAAGAACAGTGTCTGGAAAAATTGGGTTTGTTTGCAGAAGACACTCACAGCTTTGAGAACTGCTGGGTCCCTCTAACAAAAGCCCTTGCCTAATTAGGGTTTGCACATGAGGTTACACATCAGTTAACAATTAAGGTATAAAAAAGCACAGTATTAAGCAAAAACAAACACAAAATACAACAAAAACAACAAAGCAAAGAATTTAATGAATTGTGAGTTCAGACTTTTTTTTACATTTACATGTATAACAATTAAGCTTAATTTAAATTTCTCTTTTCACTAATTAACATCTTTCTAGTTAAACAACACGGATAAAGAAGTTACCACTTTAATATTCAAAAGCGCATAAAAAGATGTTAGAACAAAGGAATAAAAAAAGTGAGCATTGTGATTAGGAGGTATGGAGCAAATTGGGGAACAATACTCCAGTGCCAAATTAGATGGGTGAATGATAATTAGTGAAGATAAGGAGTGAAGGAAACATCTGAGTGGGTGAAACCCAAACATTCAAAGATGACTGTGCAGATGTCCCAAAAGGAGACCAATTAAATAAACAAATGACAGATTACTTGAAATGTGGAAAGTTCAAATAACATGACAGTGCACTTTTTTAATATGTTGTGTGTGCAGTTATGTTACAGTATAATATAAAAAGTGGAGAGGAAAGTTTAAAAATAAAATACCTGTCCACTTTTCCTGTGTGAATGATATTACTAACAGGGAGCCATGTTGATAGGATTATCATCTAAACACTTTTGGATTTAAGAGCAATGGCTATGAAGGTTATGCTTACAAACGTATGTATGTTCACTGTCCTAGTAATTACATTTCGTTCATATTTTCATTTGCTGAGTTATTGCTGTGTGAAACAGTCTGCTTTAAAATCAAAAACCTTTGGTTAAAATGTCCATTTAATCAGATCCTTAGACTGCAAACTGCAGAGAACACAGCAGCAAGGAAAGTGACTGTGAGACACCATCCAAATGCATTCTACCTTTTTCAAAATGCAGGGGCACTAAAAGGTTACATTAACATGTCTCTTGCTATCCTGAAAGGGAAACAGGTTTTCAACAAATTAGAGAGGTCATCCTTACCCATCTGTCCTGTGGCAGAAAAAAAACAACACAGATTATACTGTGGCAATACAGGAGCAAGCAGACGAATGCCACTCATTTCCCCTTTATGGACTTTTCCTCTAACTTGTCAGTTCACCAAACCAAGAGTAGTTGAAAACAAGTAGATCAATTTTCATTTAAAAAATTACCTGGTGGAAACACCAAGCTTGAAGAAAATGGACAAGACAGCGTTCAGATGCCTTAGGACTCTTAGCTTTTGCAAATTTTGGGGGTGATTAAAATGATTTCTTTACAGCATTGTACAATGTACTGCACTTTTATACAATAACTGCTATTGCAAAGAGGTTATATTTGTCTGTCTACACCGTCTATAACATTATTTCTGATAAGTGCGCTGTGGGTCAATATTTTTCCTCAGTGCAATTGTGGGCTAACAATGGGACATCCTTCTAGAACTTGATTAGAATTGACTCCAATTCAAGAAAACAGGGCTGCCAAGGGCTGCCCCAACCAATCAATGTAACACTGCTCTCTCACAGGAGAGGAGGGAATGATTTTATACAGTAGATTAAATGTCATCAGTCATAGCAAAATGGCTTCTCTTAACAACACAAAAAGGTGCTTGTGTAAGGTGTATAATACTTGTTTTATAACTGTTTAACCTATAGGGTGGGTTAGAGCTAGCATATGTCAGAAAAGTCCTTTTACTTTGAAGCCTAAAAGGATTACATGGAGGTCCCTTAAATTATATTTCTCTAACAGAATTGTGCTGTTAGAATAGTGTAATACAGTACAATACAACATCATTTTGTATTGCTCAGCATCTTATTTACAGCACTCATTCAATGAACATGAATTGGCTAAATGCATCATACGTGAGCCATATTGAACAGTAACAGGTGCCAGTGTAAAGAATTGAAGTCTTGTCACATTCTTATACCTAGACAAATAAATTCTGAGTCTTTCACAAAATATTCACCCAGTGTTTAGAAACATGTAAATATCTAAGAATTTGCATAAATAAAGGAGGCAAGGGATTAAAAGCACTTCATGTTATTGCATTTTCTTCTTTGTTATACAACATGTAGCACAGAAGCCACAGGATGTATTTGTAAAAGAAAGTAACAAAGTGAAACTGTTTATAAACGTCTGTAAAATAAATCTGACCAAACCTCAGTTTCAGCACTTTGACTGGCCAGCCAATAAGCATTCATCTGTAAATCTGATACATTCAAAAGCTCAACTAATTCTTCTAACTTCATAAGGGCATGACATGTTACACATCCTACCTTTGCAGGACATCATTCAGTTCAGTGGAAAAGCAGTCAGGCAGCGCAGGAGAGGGACCCTGACAGATCTTGTAAACTAGCTTCATCCAGTTGTTGGCCTCAAAGGCTCTGGTAAGAGTGGCTATCTCATATAGCACACAGCCCACAGACCTGCAACAGGGAAGCAGCCTCATTATTTAATAGCTTTTGGCTTTTGCAACCTTAAGTCCTTATGTTAATGCATATTGACATCCACCCATATTGCACAGTAAGATGATATTGTCCTCCATGAACCCAGTCAACGATAACCTTGAAAAGCAGTTTGTTAATGTGAAAATAAACAGCACATACTGTACTTTAGGACCTATACACACACCAGGCCAATGGGCATGCTAAATGTCTGATCTAGTTACACTTTCCTTCATATTAATCAGTTATCTGCCGCTCTTCATGATTAATGAGGCTACAAGATTCTTCCATAATTTATTATGTATTTATTACCGCTAAATGTGTTAAATCATATATATTATGATGGAATATAGTGTAAGGCGTTGGGGCTTAGGAAGTGATCTTCCCTAAGAGTAAGAAAGTGAGTTGAATGCATAATAGGAAAATTCACAAAGCCATTTATCACAGCAACGATAGATTTCACAATCATGATGATTCATTGTATTAACTCTTCTTGATTACTTGTTGAAATCCTAATTGTAAATTGCTTTAATTCTGTTTTCCTTAGTGGGAAAAACAGGTATAGCTGATGTTTTGATTTGGGTGGTTTTTATAAATCCCTAGGGTGATTCTGGGTTTGGATGCAACCTTCTTGTAACCATGAGAAACCTGAGTAATGTCTAAGGAAGCCTGCAGACTGGAAGGACATTAAGAAGGTGACATCTGTTTTGCTTTCCATCCAATGAACAAAAGGCAGACGCTGAAGGCAAGAGCATGTTTCCTCCTTCACAGGAACTGTACCACACAGGTGACTCTCACACTGCAGTTATACGAGACCCAGATTAACTTATTCACAGGAGACATGCTGATAAGTAATGCTCCTCTCCCACAACTCCCAGAGCCCCTAAAAACAGTATTTTTAGGAAGCGCTTGTCCCCTGAGCCTGGAGATGTTATGACGTGTTGAACTTGTCAGCTGCGTATTTGGGAAAGAAAACCTTGTGTCTTACAATATTACACCCTCTTGTACCTTTTCCCCTTATCCTTTCTGTTCCATTTGCTCTGATTATTTTTCACTACAATATATCATTCACATAGAAGAACACTTAAAGACATTTTTAATGATTCACATACTGCATTTCTTGGGCTTCGATATTTCACCTGCATTTCAGTCCAGTTATCAGCTTTAAAGCTGCTTCTTCTGCAGCTTTAGATGCATATTGTTGATGCAGCAGTTTTGTTTTTCAAAAGGATGTCCTAGATATTCTATCTGGCACATCATGATATTCAAAGCCCAAACAGTATCTCCACTGTGATGTAATTCAGTGAAAAACATAAAAAGAATCTGAATATCCTTTCTCTTGCAGGTTCATCCAGAGTGTACGAAATGTGATTATTAGAAATCCAGTGTTTGCAAGAAAGAACACAAGATGCATGTGCTGCACACAAATTAAATAACATGTTTGAAAACTCTGCAGATTGGTAAGAGAATAAGAGCCCTATCTCTGTAACAACAGTCTCAACCACACATCTTCACACAACAACAAAAATGTTGTATTACATATCTTGAAGGATTTTGCAAAACTAACTCAAAAGTGGAGATGGCTTTCTTGGCATTGCATGTATATATTCCAAAACATGCAGTTTGTAGTGTGCTTTCTTTCTGCTCTCCCTGCTGTGTCTGCAACAGAGATGCCCCTGTCTCTGAAAGTCAGCGGCATCCAAGAGTTGAAAATGTATTTTGAAGTGCTGCTGTTTGTACCATAGTTTTGAATTCTCTGGTTGTCATATCCCTAGAACTGTTTCAGGTACAGTACAGAATTAGCTGTCTCTTTTGCTTTAATGCTGAGTTAATTCTATGCAGCTCTGCATGTGGCAGATCTTTTATGCACACTCCGTTATGTGTGCTCAGAACTGCAGTGAATTTCACATGCTAACAAGGCACTTTGGCATGTCTCCCTTGTACAGTTGTGAGCCCCTCCTAGGAGGATGGTTACAATTTCTTGATTCCTGGCCTAGATATTATTTCCTTAGATTTATCTATGCAGATTTTTGGTTTTAACCAGAGCTGACTTCGTTCTTACATCCTGGATTGGGCTCTTCCTTGAATTATCTATGAATATTTTTAAAATAATAACTTCTCAGGACTCCAAGTTCCTCTTTGTGACATCATCTTTATCAATAATTTGATGTACACAAACACAGATCTACATTCTGTTTAACTGCACCATTCATCTTAAATTTGAGATGCTGCTATAGTAGAACATACACATACTTGTTAACACAAAACAAAAAGCAAAGCTGCAAGACAGAAGTGGATTATGGGGTAATATTATGTACAATAACAGTATCAAGGATCAAACAGAAAAAATCTTTGGCAGAAACATTTTTTCAAGATAATAACAATAATATCTGTGTTTATAAAAAAAAAGCAGAAGAACCACCAAATTCCTTTGAACAGACTTTGAAAATCCCATAATGAGTGCAGTAAGCTGATATGCTGTAGTTCAGGTAACAGAATGAGAAACTGTGTGAATAGATATTTATAGTCTTCTAAAGAACTTCTAAATTAAACCTCCAGACTGTGTTAGTATCAAATGAAATTGAATATATTATACAGATTACCACTAATTCTCAAAAATTAAGGTATTCATTCTCCTGATCAGAAACAAATATTGAATGTTTAGAGGAATAAAACTAATTATATAAAATGACATGCCTCGTTTATTAATAGCAAATGTTCTATTTTTCAGAATAGAACACTATAGAACAGAATAGAACACTTACCAGCAGCCATATCACCCTGAAACTCACAACTGGCAACCCACTGAAGCTCAGCAGGTGTGAGCCTGGTCAGTACCTGGATGGGGGACCTCCTGGGAAAAACTAAGGTTGCTGCTGGAAGAGGTGTAAGTGGGGCCAGCAAGGCCCTCACCCTGCGGTCCATGTGGGTCCTAATGCCCCAGTATAGTGACGGGGATACTATACTGTAAACAGGCGCCGTCCTTCGGATGAGACGTAAAACCGAGGTCCTGACTCTCTGTGGTCATTAAAAATCCCAGGGCATTTCTCGAAAAGAGTAGGGGTGTAACCCTGGCGTCCTGGCCAAAATTTCCAATTGGCCCTTACCAATCATGGCCTCCTAATAATCCCCATCTATGAATTGGCTACATTACTCTGCTCTCCTCCCCACTGATAGCTGAGAGCGTTCTGGCGCACTATGGCTGCCGTTGCATCATCCAGGTGGATGCTGCACACTGGTGGTGGTGGAGGGGAGTCCCCATTACCTCTAAAGCACTTTGAGTGGAGTGTCCAGAAAAGCGCTATATAAGTATAAGCAATTATTATTATTATTATTATTACTATATGCAATTGCAATATATACAGAATTTTTTTTTCACTTTGTCAGTTGATTCCACTCTAAGTGTAATCTGAGAAATACTGTATATGCAACATGTGAGGCCTCCTATATTAATGATGTGCATTAAAGATCCAGTACACATCAGTTTTCTGGTGGATGGCATGGACTCATAGAAAGTGAATCGTCAGAATTAAAGGATGTGGGCTATTCCTATCAGCACATGGTGTTTCTGCAACTCAACGGGAAGTGGCCTGTGTTCTGGCATGCAGCAAATGCATCAAAAGAATGCGCGTTTAATTATTGTGTTCTACTCCTTGTACAGAAAAAGTTTGCTGTCCAAATACATCAAAGGATATTATGAAACAGACCGTGAGCCACCACTTGAAAAGCTCTCTGCATTTCAATAGTTCCTACACCCACATGGAGTGCTGAAAAGCAAATTAACAAAAACACAGCACAATGATCCTATTGCCATTGTCCATGTACTAACATACTCCAATACAGCTGTGTCTCAGTCTTATTGCATGTATTCCCATCCATAGGAGAGATTTGGACTGTTTATGATTTATACATACTGTACAGTACGTGTTTCTCAAGTATTATCTCTATGCATAAATGCACATTGATACAGTCTAGTTCACAAACATAAATACAATTGAATTATCTGCATATAATAACACATTTTTATATGTATTTTACAGAACAAACGTAGTTTCCAAAGATAAGGTACTTCTTTTTGATTTCCCTTTTGATCACTGTTTGTATAGTCTAAGTAATTGCAACAGTGCTCCGTGATAATTTGTTGTGAACAACACTAAATAAAAATAAATTGGACTGAAATTCAATAATGTCATGCAAAAAAGTATATTGCTTTGCAAATGCAACATTGAGTCTAAAGGTTAACAGCTGTAGATATTTCAGATTAGAATCAAACAAAGATTTAATTGAAAACCCTCAGATACTGGTATAAGATTTCAGTTTTATTGACACTATTTATAAAAAAAACGTCTCTACATTCAATCACAAGAACTTAGTGTGGGCTTGAGTAAACAGACACACAAAGACCATACATTGAAGGACACGCTTTATACAGTACATGCTTTTTTAATCCACTTGTTATGTAATTAGAATTTATTCTGAAAAGAATAACTCTCTCCCCTGACCTCCGTAGCCACCTCAATCTGTTTCTTTTTTAATTTTCCAAGTACTGGGCTTCTTCATTCCTCAATTCTCTTTTCGTCTAACAGCAGAACACATTTGCCTTTTAAGGAAATAAAACAAGGAGATGTAACAATAACTGATCTGGTGACTGCATAGCTACTGTACCTAAAATGTGGTTGCCTCTGAGAACAGCCCATTTGTGACCACAGATCTATAGCCCCTGATGAAAATCCCCTCTAATAAGGTAGTATTACAAATTATCACTGCAAAGTATCAGCATAGTCACAGACTCGTCCATTATTCACATGACAACACTGGGCACAACAGGGAAATGGAGAGGGTAACTGGAAGTACTGTAGGTTGGAAAAAAAAGCAACTGGGAATACCTTTTTTATTCTAAAATAGCCAAACCTGCTAAACCTACCAAGACAGCCATTCTGTAACTTGACTAAACATTTATTTTGAGTAGCCTTTAATTACTTTTCATAAAATATTTAATGTTACTTTTATGTTTTTCACTAAAACACTTTTTTATCTTTAAATGTTAGTGGATCTGTTTACTTTGAGATTATTGTTACTTTCTATCCCTTGCCACAAAGGTATTTGTGCCAGTGGTAATAATTGAGTTATTTTGTTATTATGCCTAGGGTATGGAACATTGCAAATTACTTCCAATCTATTTCTGCCTCAGACAAAAGATAACGTGAGTACACAAAAGCTTTAAAATGTCATAATTCTCTGTGTTATGTAGTTTTAATTATGTTGCCATTTATCACTAATTATTACAAAACTGAAATAACCAATTCAAAGCACCTCAATTAAAAAAAAAATGGGTCCAAAAGCAAATAGTTAAAAGAGGCAGAAAATCCTATTATTTACACTTTTAAGTGTAAGTGAAATTGTTTATTTTCAGTGTGTATTATTAAACAGGCTTGCTGTAACACTGGATTACACATAACAGCTTTCACAAAGATTGCATCCACTGCCTTTGAGCTATAATTTCCTGTTGCTCGTGAAGCCACTGAAACATTTATTTCCACAATTCTCCATAGGTATAGGCGACATTTAATATCTCATTATCACCCTCGCAGCAATCTCGGTCCAGCTGATCAAAACTAGAAGCTGGAAAGCTGATGCTTGTCTGCTTTGATCTTGCTTCACGGCCTTTTGCTTGAACATCAGATAAGACACGAGAAAGAATAGAACTGTTTCTCTTCTATCACAAAGTTTAGTGAACTAAGGAGGCGTCCATCTGTGATATTTAATAATCTATGCAGTTCACCGGGGAATGGGGAGTTAGTCAACAGTGGTATAGTATGTCCAACACCATTGTGTTTAATGTTTTAAAAAGTGTCAGTTCACAAACCTCAGCCTTTTGGTTTTCTGTTGCTCAAAGACATGAAACAATACGGTGAAAACTAATTATATTCAGTGTATAAGTCTGTTTGCAATTTAAAGAGAGCCTATACTGTAGTACAGTAACAAAAAACTAATTGATACTTCAAACGCAGAATCTTTCCATCTGCAGGCTCTTTCCTCAAGACTTTACAAACATGTTCTATAACAGTTATTCACAATAACATTGTCTTGTTTTTACATGTTTTGGGAGACCACAAGCAAGAACTGCTTATGGAATACAAGGAAAAAATAGTATTTAGCTTATCTCAGTTGATGAAGCTTTAAACTGCATTGAACATTTTGGGAGTGTCTAATAATTTGTATCAATACAGGACTCAATTATCCATACCTAAATTCCCATGTTAAACATGCATCTGTTAAAAAAATAAAATAATGGTCAACCCTATCATTGTAGATTTGCTGTCTAGTTAAATTTCACACAGCTGACACAAATAAATTAGGTTTCAAATGATACAATGGAACAATGAAAACCAACATGGGGTGCCTGCGCATTAGATTAAATAAACTTCAGAGAGTTGAATGTTTCAGATTCAATACTTTGTTGCCAAGTCACCAAAGTGATTGGAATTCACCCCACTGCAGCCCAAATAAAAACAGAAACAACGCTTTTACATACACAGTACACATTATTTAATCAGTCAATCTTAGGCTCAAGTTTAGAATTAAAAACGATTGTGTGAGAAGCATTCTTTCAATTTGAATACTTGTTCCAATTCCTTTATGATATCCCCTTTTACTTTTGACCCAGGGAATTCCCTTTATTTCCCAAATTAAAAAAAAAACTTGACAATTTATATTTATTGTTTTCCTTATTAATCCCATCCAGTTCCTTCAAATGTCTTTCTAAATGTCTTTTTGCACCCATAGTTTTAACTCCCTGAGATGACCATGAATTAAAGAATTACCATCAATTGTCTATCAGAGCTGAGAGAGGCTGCGGAGATATTCACCTTAAAAAACCCATCAGACGTCATAAATTGGTTACTTTCTTACTTTCTTGGAAAGAAAATGAAATATTGGTTTGCACTGGTTTCTGATCATAGATATTTCTGTCTAAAATGGCTACATTTAAGCATATCTTGACAGCTGAAACACAGATAGGGGAACAGGTGGCCTTGTAAAGATGGCTGATCAAGTAGTGCATTCATGCATATTAAATTGGTTCAACATCTTGTAAAAGCCAGGCTGTACTGCAATGGGAAAAAAAGACGTATTGTAAAGATATGCTTGTGTAGATGGAATTTTTTTAATCATATAAAGCAGCAGTAGTGTTAGAGACAAACTGATGATGTGACTTGACGCATAGGAGCCCATTTTCCCTTCTGCCTCTCGTAGCATTGATATGGTGTTAGAACCACAAGTCACGCTATTCTCACCCAGAACAAGAGAGCACTGGCATTCCGTCTTGCCTTGTCACTTTAATGAGCTGAGCTGGACTTGAATAAATTACAATCATAATATAAATGAAATTAAGCCTCATTTGAATTTATGACTTTCTAATCTCATGTCTCCTCATACAACTATCACGCACATAGGAAATTACATTCTGGCACCATGTTTCTAATACAAGGATGGGGCTTGAGGCTTACTTTTGTAAATATTTTTTCCATCTAATTATCATTTTCATTTCTAAAGAGGACTTTCTGAGACTGTGTTCGTATATCATGTCTCAGAAAAAAATCTGCTTTTATATATTTTTATTTCCACTTAATTTTATTATCTTTCTAGACTTTCTTTTTACCTACTGTACGCTAACACCAAGATAACTTAATACACCGGGATTTATGCAGACACCTTTCCAATAAAAAATAGAAAACATATTAAGTTACACAAAAACTCTTGAGTTTGACAGAAGAGGCCCGTTTAAGTTGTATCATTAGTCTGGGACTATTATTTCACTCAGACTTCAGATTTTTCACAGTGTTGTTGAATTAATGGGCAGGGTTTCCTTCTCTGTTTCTGTTTCTAAGAAACTTAGTAATGTGTACTGTAGGTGGTCAGTTTTGGTCCTGAAAAACTGTTATCCAAGTTAAGTTGGTAAAAAGAAGTACATGTGTTCTAACTCTTTGTGTATAATGCTAATTAAGGACTACCTCTAAAACCTGCTTAAGATATAACTATAAAGAAGTTACAGTTGGTAGTTGCATCGGCATTCATAGGCTGCAATGGAACAGGTAAGTTAATTCCAGGCTGAAAAGAAAAGAGACACAATGTTTCAGCTGTGGAGCCTTCTTCAGGTGTGTGCATAAAACTACATAGGACTTAGACTGATCACTTCTAAAAAATGATACACATGGACTCTTTTAATAATGCAGGAACAAAAACAAAGAATGTGTCTCACCACATATCGGACTTGGCGTCATAGCCAGAGGAGGTGAAGATCTCTGGACTCATATAATGGGGTGTGCCAGTGAAGGTGGTGGCGCAGTCCAGTGAACCAGACAGAATACGGGACACACCGAAATCACCTGGGGGAGGCGGAATGGATATACTTACACGCGAACTGCAGAATCTACATTAGCAACTAGGTGATAACAACAACTTCAGTAATTCATTCATCATAACAGAAACCCCATAATTTAAAGATCTTTATCACATTTCCAGCTCTGTAACAAATGATTGCAAGTCAGCATGGCTTCAGTTAAAAACTCACTGTTATTTGTAGATCACACAAGCATGGTAGACACTACAGTTTAACATACATACTGTACAGTATGAATTCCAAGGCTGTTCAGAAGCATTAATGGTGTGACTCTCAGTCAGGCCTCAAGTCTGACAATGGCCACTGCAGACCCGACTTGCTTGTGGAGCAGGAAACAGTACAGAATTCAGCTCTTTAACTGACCCCTATTCTCAGATTTGTCTGGAGTACATACAGTATATATTGTATATAAGGGCTTTGAATGCAAAACAAAATGCCAAATATTTAGTAAAAGTTACAAACAAGAGGAGTCAATTCAGTCTGTTGCTTGTTTGCCTGCTGACTAGTTTCTACAATTTTCATTGACTAGAGCATCTCATCCAGCTGTTTCTTAAACTTAAAAACATTCATTTCAGTGTGTCACACACAGAGTACTTCCTTTTAGCTGCAACATTGCTTCAACACTTTTCTTTAAATTGTTCTTAATACAGTACTAGGTAGTCTTACTAAAGTGTCAGGACACATAAAGCTGTCAGAGGGAAAAGTATGCTGTATATATTCAGTAGCATTTGCAAGGATACAAAAAAATCTATTCTTACTTGTAATGCTTATGATCGCACTTGACAGCTAAACTTTTATGTAAACGTTACGAAAGACACCTGTGCATGCATTCATATTCTCCCATGTATTTCACCACTTACCAATCTTGATCATAAAATTCTTTAAAAAGATATTCTTAGTTTTCAGATCTCTGTGGAGGATGAGCCTGAAACATAAAGGTTTGAAATAAAAATGTGGAATATTAATAATGAAAATGCATTTATCAGGAGCCAGTAATGATGGATTCATACCGTATTATGCAGTATCTGATTCACTGGTGGGGCCATGGTGGGGAGACAGAGCTTGGGTGCCTGCCTGAATGCTCAGGGCCCCTCACCTCTGCGATCCTTCCATGCCCACTACCCAGGCAAGCCCCATCCAGTGCCTGGAGCTCGCCCTCTGAGGAGGGGGGTATTGTATTGCTCGTACCCGGGTCAATCTGGCTGCAGCCAGTGGTCAATCAGCAGATCAATCATCCAATCTGCCTGCCCGCATTTCAGCACGGTATGGCAGATTGTCAATTCCACCGAGTCATAACTAAACAGCACTCACCTCATTAACACCAGGGTACTTGTTCACTGTCCTCTAACTTTGCAGCGCTTATTTTGAAATTATTCTTATTATGAGTCTTGGCTTAGCCGTGCTGCTACAGGCTTCCCCTGCTTCATCTGCCTCCCCTGGATCACCTGTGCTGCCCACCTGCTCTATTCAGCACACGCCACTACAGCCTGACAGTTTGCGTTCTTTAGCTTTCTCTATTCTTCTCTTCCTTGAAGATCCCTCATTCAACCGGGACTGCTGCCCCCACTCCCCCCACGTGTGTACAATGGTCCATGATAATCCAAAATTCAGATGCAGAAAAATTCCTCTGGATTACAAATAAAGATCCTGAGATGAAAAAGATAAAACCTGCTATATGGTATGTAGTTACTGGGCTGTGGTGTTGACCAGTGAAACAGAAGGATTGCTATTACCTTTCATGTAGGTACTGTACTCCCATCAGTGTCTGTATCAACCACTCCAGCACCTGCCCCTCTGGAAAAAGTCTCCCTGTCTCCCAGCGGCTCTTAATTCTGCTGTCCAGATCTCCACACTGATAAAAGGCAAAAACGACATGATGGGAAGTTCTACAACCTAATAATGATAAAAATGTGTTCGGGCTGAACTTAAGATCAGGCTTTTATGAGTCAATGCACTGTTATCTGTTCGGTAGGTGTTTCATAAAATGAGCTGAATTTCTCACTGAACACAAGCTTTCACATTTTCACATTTGCTAAAGAAACGACTGATGATCCTTGAATAAACATTTGGTTGTGCAGAAGCTAGGTTTTTGCTGCCTGATACTGAACATATCCTATTTCCTTTCTCTGCTTCTCACACATCTGGATGCTGAATATGGTCACAAGACCTCATGGATTACAGGATTTCTGAGATGTTGAAAAAACCTGCACATACTGTATATGTCTTTGAGAAATGTGTCATCAGTGGAGTGTTAAGGAGTAGAGGGGCTTAAGCAAAGCATTCAAAATTACAACATGGGACATAGTAAAAAAAAAGTATATGATTATTCTTGGACCCTAGTGTGAAATCAACCTTTACTTGTTTCCCCAGTATAGGGATATTGATTGCCTAATTCATTTAAGGCACTACCAGGAAGAAAATGGTTCATATTAGTTCCACCCATTGCTTGTTTTAAAGGATTAGGATACGTTTTTATCAGTGCCCTTTATCACAGTCATGCTCTGATCCTCCGGTGCGGGAGAGATTTTTTTCAGCAGACCTTTATTCCTGGCTTGGGGTTAGGGGTGGGGAGCTGGTGGTTGGGTTTTGATCACCCGACAATGTCATGAGCACAGCCATAATGAAGATGTACAGTGATAATGGAGAGAATCTGACAGGAAAAGACCAAGGGTTAGCTGTGCTCCACAAATGTATCCTCGTTTTAAGTATATGTAGCACGTTGGTGAAGCACAGTGAGGGTGTGTGTGTGTCCTTGCACATGTTCATCGCTCCACGTACTGTATTTATAGCTCTTGACTGCCTGCAGCATCAGCTTAGCATTACGATCAGAGTCACTACGGTTTATTCGTGATTGCCGCTGTGCAAAGGCCATCACCTCTTCCCATTTCCACAGCCCACCAAAGATCATTTGCTAGAGGCTTCAGCTGAGTTTTATTTTCTTTCACCATATTATCAAGTAAGCAGAGGTTAATGCATTATTCATGTTTAATAGCATGAGGAGGTAAAAATAACTTACTAGTGTGTCTTGTTTTTAGTATTTATCTCTTAAAAATGTGTATAGTCTATATAATTCTTTTAATGAATGGTTATGAAGTAGCAGTAATATCACTGTACACGTCTCACAGGCACGGTAAAACACCTCTTATTAGGCAGGATCATGCACACAGAGTTGAAACACCAGCACAGAAAACAACAAGCATTTACACAGGGGCATCCTCCTCCGTACAGAGACTGTTTAGACAGTGAGCTTGACCCCACCATGTGTCTTTTCCATACATGAATAAAGCCAGAAATAAATCACCCTGAAAGTGTTGGATTGTAGCATGCTGACTACCTTACAGCACAGGCTTTGAATTCTCAAGTTTGTGGGCTCCAAAAAAAAGAATAAAAAAGGCCGCCCGCAAGGTTATGGCTTTAATAACAATAAGAATAAGAAGGCAAATATACTAAATCACACTTAATATTTAAAAAAAAGAAATAATATGTCTTGTATGCTAGCATTAGTGGCTGTTTTTTATTGTCTTATGAGCTGTCATGAGTCTGCAAGTCTTCATGTGTGGGTAAGTGCATGCATATACTGTATGTGATGCACTGTTTCTGACAAGATCAAGCGTCTCAGAAAGATTGAGGCAATAACATTTTCCTCAGCCTGTTCAAAAAGAATGATGAGAATCAATTCAGATCATGTCTAGCATTGTGGGAGACACAGAAAAACTCAATATTGCAGACGTGGAAAGAGTTTTTAGATATTTTGGCTTTAACTCTATTGGCTTGAGGGATGACCACCTGTACAGATGAAGAAGTGTTAGACAATAATGCAAGTGGTTTCTACATTGATGGTAGCACTGGGAATGGTAGACATTTTGGTCTACAGGCCTGCATTTATATCCTAGAACCAGTGACTGGCAGGAGTTTGGATTGGTTCACCTGACAAGCTTTCATGATAAACTCCATCATAAAAATGTTTAGCCTACAGGTGACGTGCCAATGGGTTGTTGCGTATTGATTCTGGTAGAAAGAGCAGTCATTCTTTCAGATGATGAAAAACAGGGCAGGTTCTCTGTCATCCGCTTGGGTTTTATTAGTGAATTTTCACCACTGGGTGAAGCAAAGGATTTCAAAATAGTATAAGAAACCTGAATGTGTTGTAAGCCTTTCACAGGGATGACTAGAGGAATTTGTATACAAACTCAGCTGGACACTTAACTGTGTACCCAAACCAACCATGCATCATGAAAACACGTTTTGAAAAGTCTGCTGTTCCTTCCCAACATATTTAGCATATTAGCCAGGCCTGAACAGTAGAGGCCAAGGGACACGGTAACTACTGCATTTCATTCTAACAAATGTGACTATTCTAAAGTACATACTGTAAAGTACATTTTAAACTGTTGCTAAATAAAAGTTACCTCTAACCTTTGTAGAACTAGAACCCCTAGAGGAGTCAGTCAATCATCCTTCAGACTAAATCCAGGAAATGTCAGGCCACTCTAAAGAATATGTCAGACCTTTTAAATTAGGTTTTTGAGGCTGTACAGGGGTCATTGATGTATGAATGAGGCAGCTAGTGATGGCCTCCCCATAGACACCCCTCTCCCACAATTAGTTAAGCAATGAACAAATCTATAGTGCATGAGACATCAGATAGCCAGTCTATCCATTTCACAGCTCTCCAGCAATAACAGAATATAACCTCTGAAGCCCGTGGAAACTTAAATCTCTTTCAGGGCAAGCATTAGTATAGGTTTGCCATTTGGGCCAACACTATGGTCAGGGTTAAGCTTCCAGAGTGTAGGTGTTCCATACCTGGAGCATTTCTGTGCAAGATAAGCCTGAGACTGTGTCTTTGCATGTGTGGGCACATCTGAAACACCTTTGCTTGCAGTTTTGGTTGTAGGAGGGAAGCAGGCTCACTGTACCTCGCAGTACTCTGTGATGATGCAGAAGGACTGGAGCTCCACAAAGCTGCAGTAGAAATGGACTATGGCTGGATGGTCCAGACAAGACAGCAGCTGGGCTTCTTTAGCAGACCATACCGTGTCATCTCCCTTCAAGTTCCCCACTGAGATCTGCTTCAAGACTTTCCTGGATGATGGCGTAGAAGGGAAAGAGAGCACAGGCTTACTGAAATTAGCTGTTTGCATTGGAGGACCCAGACAAAGGATTCTCCTTCTCCAAAAGATTCTCCGATTCCCTTAATCGTAGTTACTGATTGAATTAGTCATTGTAATGGATTTTTTTTTAAAGCATCAGCAAGAAGCAGAGAGAGGAGAACCAGGCTTAGGTTAGGACCTCAGAGGTTAAGGATGAGCAAAAAGAAAGTAAAGGTGCTTTCAGCTTTCAAGGTAGCCTTCCAAATGACAAATAATATAAGTAATAATAGACAAAACATTTTCTATTGTAAACGTACATAAAAGTAAAAAGACTCCTGTGATCATTCAGTCTCCAGCTATTTGGTGGCTATAGAACCACACTGGTTTTCTGACATTTGATCTTCCTAAGAGAAAAATCCACAAGAAGTCTTATTGACTCAACAAGTACAAATAACATTCAGCATTCATGAATCAGAACTGAAAAGCACTTGTTTATCCTATTTCCGCATTCAGATTACTTTAAACAGGTTATTAAACCAACAACCTCTCATTAACTGCATGGATTTTCCAATGGAAAGGCTCTCATTACATTACTGGCTTTCACACAGAGTGGTGCTTTGAAAATTAATGTTGTGTACCAGACTAAAAACCAACCTCGAGTGCTTTGGCAAATTAAGATCTTTTGCTCCTGTCAAACCACTTTCTGTGGGGACACAATAATCACATTAGCAGCTCTTAATGCCCAAATTAAGTAATCAATGCAAAAATTAAAATGCATTATAAAAAGCAACTTTGTAACCTCTTTACTTTTTTGATTAAAAGATAAAACAAATACACTTCAAAATAATACACAGGTATATTAATTATTACATTAGTTATTTTGTTATTATGTGACATTCACACTTGTATTTACTTTTAAATAATTTGACCAGTACTGTAACTGCATTACGTAAATACTGATATGCAAATATAAGATAAGTACAAGATTCACACCTTACAACAATAACATGGCAGGCTATGGAAAAGAACATTAAAAGTGTAATTAACTTAAAATGTAAGTACACCTCTAAATTTCAAGTATTACGCACTGCTAAAGCAATAATTGCAATTTAAGTCAAGTGGTTTATGTGTAAATACATTATTTCAAAGTGTAAATACCACACATTTCCAAGGTAATTACATTGTTAATATATTGTGGTCAAGGTACCTGTATTTATAAGATTATCTGATAAAATGGAGACAATAAATTGTTACAAGAACAAGAGATATTGTATCTAATTACATTTTTCTTGTAATTTAATAATATAAATTTTAGTAAAATACAGTATATATTGTAATGCAACGGGGGTTCAAGGTTTTACACTATTTCAGTCCCAATGTATACAGTAGGTAATGTTCTTGAGCACTTGAACTACTACAGTAACAATGACACACTGTAACACATTTTCCTCTGGCCTTTACCAATCATGGCCTCCTCATATTTCTCATCTCTGAACTGGCTTCATCACTCTGTTCTCCTCCCCACCAAGAGCTGGTGTGTGGGGAGAGAACTGGTACACTATGGCTGCCATCGCATCATCCAGGTGTGGGCTACACATTGGTGGCAGTGAAAGGGAATCCCATTGTCCATGCTTGTATATTTTTAGAACAATGTTTGTTAACTGATCATTCATAACTCAAGACACACTCAAGAAACTGTAACTTTTCCATCATTCCTAAATCAGCTCTTTAGAGCTGATTGGGCACAGGTGATGTAACATGATAAATATCAAGTACGGTCAAAGTCAGAAAAGAAAAACTCTGAAAGAATCCTTTATAATCAAGAGAAAAACAGTTCACTGATGAAGTCACATGCCAAACCATTCAAACACTTACAATTTTATTCTGAAATCCACAGAGAGGCAATGCACACAATAGAAAATAGGTGATACTGTATATGCTCATGCGTTTTTTTGTTTTGGTCAAAAATTGAACAGTTGAATTATGACTATGCAGCAAATTAAGAAACTAACAACATGTTGGGATACACCAGTAATCAGTGCATTAAAACAATCAGGCCAGAAATAGAACAAGTCCAAACTGACTGCAATATTCCTCACCTGAGTACTTAGAGTGATTGCAGGACCAGCAAAGTCAAGCTACTATAAGATTGACACATAGGCAGCACTGATAAAGAGATCCAATTAACATCACAGGACTTGTAAGTGCTTGATTAAAGTAATATTTTATGCAAGCTTACATTCGGGTGTCATCAGCATAGCAGTGAAAGCTGATGTCATACCTGAGAAGAATCTGACCCAATGGTAACACAGAGATACTGAAAGGAATAGGTGAGAGTCTTGGGGACACCAGATGTATCCAGTTTTGTAGAGGAGAACAGTGACCTTTCTGAACAAGGTTTCAATCATAACAAAGCATTTTCAGTAACAATAACCTTCTTAATTTATTGAGCACTGTCAAAGTCAGTAATAAGGTACAAAAAGGACAAGAGTGGGTATAAATTCAGTGTGGAGTTTATAGAATACATCTGAGTGAAATACCTTGTAGCACAGCAGTGTCTCTCGCTGGGAACTGAGCCAGTTACCCCATCATCTGCAGTCCAGAGCCCTAACCATTACTCTGCACTGCTGCAGGAACCACCACTTTAAATAAAACCCAATATCACCCTTTCAAAATAATATCTCTGTGACTGGCCAGTTCCTCTCACTATCACTCAATAACTTTTTTAATGCAGACAATTAAAATGAAGGACATTTACCAGAATAATTGAATGGTAGTTCCAAGTCCCCGAGTTGTCTTTTTTTCCTTTTTGTTATTTGCAGCTTTCTGCACAATTTTATGTTCTAAAATCTCATTTGCATGACAAAGCAGATAGCACGCTCAATGTTTTTTTTTCCATACTTCACATTCACTGCACAATATGCTGTTCTGGTGCTTAGAAAAAATCAACACTGTCTTTGAAAAGCTATTTTAGTTCAGGTCATTAGCAGAACAGAACAGGTTCACAGAATCTAATCGTACTTTGTCTCTTAATTACATGGCCAAGAACTGTGCTGTTGCAGGCTATTCAGTGCTGTTATTGTATTTTTAACAATATTAATGGCAAATGTTTGCAGATCTACAGAACTCATATAAAATATGCAGGATGAGCACACGAACAATTTCTCCCGAATGAGCAGCCCACTGAACGGGAATGCCGTCAAGATGTATCATGTTATCATCCTGTTTAATATATTTTGGGGTGAAGTTTTGATAGACATAAGTTAGATTAATTCCAACATGCTTCACTGATGCCAGAGACATGGCAAATGGAATTACAAACTACTTTTTAAGAAAAACAAAATTTCTTAGCCCTCCCATGTTGTCAAGTCACTGCTAAATTCCCTTGTATCATATCTGAAAATAAATGCTTTGTGGTTTTCTTATCAAGGCTTTGAGAAAGAAATGATCCAAGGATTAATTTACACTTTTTGTTAGGCATATACTCTTTTGCATTTAGCATGACAATAGTCTTGGAGAAAAACAACTTTCTTTTTGCAATTTACTTCAGAATGCAAGGGTTGTCTAGTAAAAAGACAGTTGGTGTGTGATGTTAATAAAACAAAATCCCTGAAACACTGTATTTTTGGGCTTGAGTGAAGGTCCTTCCAGGGCTAAAGGGTATGTCACACTGACAGTCTGGAGGAAAAGAACAGTTTTAGTCTTGAAGAGAGAAAAGTGCGAGGCAACATGATATTCAAAATCCTCGAGGATACCAACAGAGTGAAACCAGGATGAACAGTGAAACACAAACCAAAGGACACAAGTGGCAACTATAAAGAAGTGTGTTTATAACTGAAAAGAGGGGATGCTTTTGCCAAGGTATTATGGGAGTGGAATAGGGAACAAGCAACTCAGGAATGTTGTCTTTCAAGAAAAGACTGGATGAGATCCTTTCATCAATTAGTAATTAAATACCAAACAGGATAGATGGATGAACTGGCCTTCTCTCGTATATAATTGTTCTTATATGTGAAAATGCATGCAAATAAAATTCCTCATTAAATGTATTGTTCAAATGCACCCACACCCATAGTCCATGGGTACCAAAGATGTTAGGGTGTTAACAGAAAATACATAGCTGGCAATTATAAACAACAGTACTGCATGGGTTCCAACTCTGTGGAAAAGTTTCATTGTTTCTGACAAAGTATTGTAGAGTGGAAGTGGTAATATGGGCAAGGCTCTTAAAACTTCAACTCTGCTCTAGCACACTAAATCTAACAAACAAACACAGCAATTTGTGTAATTGCACAAAAAGGTGGAACAATAAGGCACCTCTTCTCACCTCTCCTATGAAGAGGGTACTCCACTATAAATACACAGGTCACAATTATATAAGCACCTGTCATCTGTGTGTTGTCCATTCTGACAGGTTCTTGTTATTAGGTGGAGTGCCTGTCAGTTTGAATACACATAGCTGATTGTTATGACATAAACCGTCATGATAAAAAAAAGTGTCAATGAGTCACACAAGTTTCAGAAATTTCATCTGCCTACCATCAGTTCTTAACATCAGGCGTGAGTCACTATCCACTCATGAAAGAAAGAGGTAAACAAGAAACGCAGAAAATAAATGACCAGGAAATGAGAAACCTTTCTATGAACATCAATAGCTACTGAGCTTTTACAATCAACAGGCCCAGGCAACCTTTATCATCGATAATAAAACACATATTTTCACAGCCATGATTCTACCATTCTATCATTCTACAACTCACGTTCAGTAAAAAAGTAAACTGAAAAAAGTAAACTGCTGATATTACGAAAATCAAATATGAACAACCTAATGGCTTTAATAGTTTTTAATTGTGAGGAAAAAAAGCTTGTTGATTTTGTCTCTTCAAAATCAATGAGCAGGCCAAGATCCTAAAACCCACAGTCATATTTATGGATCAGAAGTGTGTGCGAGAGAATCCAAACAAAGGAATGGGATCCTGAAAGGCGACAATATTTTCAATAAGAATGTAACCACCTTGAAGCACAGGGTGTTTTAAAATGAATAACTAATGCAGGTTGTACGACAACATTACAAAGAGTTGTTAACATCATTTCTCTTGCGCTAAGAACTGGCATGGGCAACTGCCAGGGTCAGGGTACTGCTGCTTGCTTGCATTGTGCCAACGATTGGAGTCTTTGACATTATTAGAAAGAGGAACAGTCTAATCTTCAGGTAATTTGTGTACCTTGGTGTCGAGATCAAGATGGAGTCTAAAAAAAAGTTTCTAGGATTAATGAGGCCATGTTCAACAGCACAGCAAATCACCATGCGGGGACAAGAGATAAGCCAAGGGTTTTTTTTTTCATGTGGCTCATAAAATAAAAAATGTATGTTTTGTGATAATTACAGAACACCAGCAAATATAATCTCCTTTATTCTCATGTCAGGCACAAATGATGTATCCTTTTTTTGTCCAAGAAATATTAATCTGAGGCAACTCAGATGTGCTCTTTTTTCATTTTAAAGATAAATGTAATGTATCATAAAATAAGATTAAAAATCAGACAAACTCAAGGTGATATTTCATCTTTAAAAAAACACATTAAAATGTGCTGCATTTTTTATCTTATCCTGGTATGTGTTTAACTGCCTTTTAAGTTCTAGTTGATATCACCAATTTTAAGTTAATGTCATTTTCCATATGGATTAAAACATACAGCTTCACCGGAATTGTAAAATAAAGATGAAATCATCTCATATTTATATATCGGGAATCTTATTTTGTGCTGATAAAATACAGCCAGTTGATATTTTTAGGTATGGAGGTGTTTCCATCTGAAAACAATAGCTTAGTAAATCTGTTAAAAAGATAACATATGTATTCATATATAGATTAGGGTGTGATTGTGCCCTGATATGTGTAACAATTTCTCTTTCCCAGCAGAGAACAACCCCTTCCATTAACACATTAGAAAGCTATTTGTCAGTTCTAAGGTAACAATTAACACATTACTTTAAGATTACCAAACCTAAATATTGGCAGAACTGTCTGTTTTCTTAGTAGAAGTGTAGATATATACATACAAAGTAAATGATGAGTTCATAATGTATATATAAACGAGAGTAATTTAATTCTGTCAGTAGGCCCTAATATAATAATTTTTAACTCCCTTGTTGTGCTGGCCATAGGTCATAATAATCTTGGTCATTACATAATATAGATTGCTTACTTTTACACTACAGTCTTAAAGTTTTATTAGTGTTTAGATGGTATGTTTTGCTTCTTCAATAATTTTCCAATAATTCATGAAACTGGTTTTCACTGTTCATTAACCTTCTAATGCAGTGCAATGATAAATGAAAAAGATAATAATGGATATTAATAAAAAAAAGAAAAACAAGAAGAGATCATCTAAGAAACTCCAATTATTTATCCCTTCCCATAAAAAACTGCTGATTCCTGCCTGGTCTGTGTCCCTAAAATAGTTTTTTAATGTTTATAATCACTATTTCCTGAACTCAGAAATGGACAGCGCAGTGGTCAACACTGCTTCAACAAGACTAAGCCTTCTGTGAAGCTCTATCTTAAAGTCATTTTCCCAGCAGGAAGGGGTATGTTTATAACGATTTGTTCAGACACCTCACAGCACGGCTCAGCCAGTCAAAATGAGGAATTACTGTAGCTCAATATGAGGTTCATGCTGGAATGTCGTGTTTGATGCATGCAGTTCTCACAATTCTAATGAATAACCAGAACAGAATGTCAGGACTGGAATAATAGAGACACTATTGGATAATCTGTCATGCATTAAAGGGGATGTCCTGAAAAATCAGTTGTCTTTCTTGATTCCACCTTCAAAAATGTTATCACTGTTTAGGTGTATTTCACCATGTTTTTGTCATGATTAAAAGAAATCAGCATTCAAGGCAGGCACTACTAGACAGTCTCGTATTCTGTACCAATCCCCACTTTAAGTGGATACTACTGCAGTTAAATGAGGTTGTAACATATCTGGCTGAAGAAATTTGAAAGACTTCCAGGTAGCAGTGGTTGAAATCAAGATCGTCGAATTCTGGCCCTCAACAGTCATGATCTATAAGGTCATTAAATTGTCATCATCTTAAGATATCTTATTTGACACAGTTTAGCTACCTTTCCTCAGGCATTAAGTTGTCAATGATATAGTGAGCATTAAAAGAAATGAATCAATTAGAACTCCAACAAATTCACAGCTGTTATCAGGAAAACAGCAATCTTTTCATAGAAAGTGTACTGTTTTACAGGATTAAAAACTGCTGACTGCAAACACCCCAGACTGTAAGAGACTGCACTGACTTACTCCAGTTTCCAACATTTCAATTTCACATTGGTTGTTTTATGCAAAGGCTAAATGATAAGGAATATTGTGTGAAATACATTCGATGTTTTTCTTTCCTGGTTTTTCACTGGTCTTAACATTCAACAGGTTAAGTAATCTTAAACATTGCACAATGCACAATTCACCTGTGAAAATCAGCTCTCCTACAAATTAGGTGATTTAGTCTTGCTTACGCAAAGGGTGTACTCAACTGTATCACGGTCAGTTATGAATAGCAGATTAAGCAAAACGGTGACAATTTTATCAATAAGTAAAATCAAAATACTTGATTTTTCTAAAATCACAGATACATAACAGAGTAAAAGCTTTCTATAAGCTATATAAGGACAGAAAACCTCTGGCCCTCAGCCCCAGAAAACTAAGTATTTGCTTTTTTTTCCACAAGAATCTAATAGCTGCTTTACTACTCTGCTGCTTCAAATAAATCTCAGAATAGGAGAAAATGCCATTTTATATTGTTGGTGAATGAGAACACCATAGCTAGCAATAAAAAACTAAAGGAGCACTCACTGCCAGGCCTCTGCAACAAATTAGAAGGGTTCTTGTTTCTACCCATTACCATACTGACTTTGTTATGTGCACTTGTTTAGCACTGAAGTTCAAAGGTAAATCTGGAATCATAAATCTGTTGTGCCAGTGAGTGATACAGTATGTGGCAATAATCTGTGAGCTGCAAGTTAAAGTTATTTTTTTAATTCTTAGTCATCACCAGCCCAATTGAAATAATTTTAATTTACACTATTTAAACTAAACAACCTTCTAGCAACCCCCTGGGTACAGACAATATATTCATCATTCTCACAGTTGTTACCTGTCATTATGGTGTTTTCTGAGAGTGACACTTAGCCTTAGCAAAAATCCTTCAGCGTCCTCCAAATCTCAAATTACCTGATGACAAGCTTGGAGAACATGACAGAACAAATGCCAACAGTTCAGAAGGGGCTTGTGAATCACACAGTAGGAGAGATTTCACAATCACTAGACAAAGCCTACTGGAATCTCTGCCTAGCTACATTGTGCTGTTTCTGTGCTTAATGATACAGTACCTATTAGTAACTAAGAGACAGACACTTAAAATTTTAAGAGTATTTTTAGTCAGATCAAAAAACCCACAAGCTTGACAATGCTCATTATTTTTCAATAGTAGATTTTGATTTGGATTTTTCTTTCATGTAAAAGGCAGAATGCTTTGAAAGATATGTAAACATTTCCATACATTGTTTTTCATGTCTTACTAGCAGGAAGCACCGAAGAAAGGAAGAACAATAAACACTTATTAACAATAAATGTTATACCCGGTAGAGAAACGTGCATACACACGGAGATGCTCTATACACACCCTGATATCTGCACATATTTGATCACATTTTCAATTAATAACATTAACATTTGTAAACATTAAACAAAGCAACTCTGTTTATGGCAAAGCAGTTAAGAGTACCAAAAAAAAATAATTCACTGTCAAGTTACGGTCTTTGCTTCAGACACAGTTGAAGGCGACCGTTTTTAACTTGTTCTTGCTTAAGCAAAGGCTGCTTAAGGCTTGCTCTTGCTTAAGGCTGTTTCCATATCTCACTTGTGTTGATGATCGATAGTGGCAGGTTTTAAACATTTTGACCGTTGAGCCAATATTACTTTTAAGGGAAAAGCACTCCGCAGCTGTCTGCCAATGCATTGTGTGGTTCAAACAAAGCTGAAGAACAATTCTTACTTTTGCTCTTCAGTCTTGGATTTGGAGTCCAGTACCAGGTAGACTGTGGCAAAGCTCCCACTTCCCAGCTTCCTCTGAAGAGTGTACCTCCCTGCCACAATCATCCCTAGACTGAAAGAGTCTGAGGGGTGCAGGTCTGCTTCCATGTCTCACAAGCAGCTGTTTCGCCTCTGTTGCTGCACACAAAAAAACAAGACCAAAGGACGTCACACACAGCCATTTTGATCATGTTGACAGAATGTAAACATTCGTCATATATTAGGGTGACCATATTTTGGTTTGCAAAACAAGACTACGGGGGGGGGGAGGATAATCGACACTCGACACATGCCTCCAAAGTAATGAATCTTCATTACCTTTTCTAATTAAAAAATCAATTTAAACTCTCTTGTTTTTTTATTAAACTTCTTAGTAAACTTTTAAACTGTTGCAGGGTTTGCTGTTTCTCTTTCATAATGGCAAACAAGGAAAAAAAATATAGCACTATTTTAAACAAAGCTTTTGTTTTACATTTTAACACAACAAAAGTCTCAACATCTGAGGAAAAAATGAAGACAACGCAACTTAGGAGGACTATAAGTCCTCATTGGTTGCAAAAATGATAGATTTTAACGAAACATTTTGAAATATAATGAAACAAGTTAAACATTGTTATTTCTCATGGCCATAAAAACCCCCCCCCCCCCACACACACACACAAAACCCTTTCAAGCTACGCAGCGCGCAAGTTCAAAACATCTACCGGTAATGCATGGAACGAGCCTGTGTTTGTTTACAGTCTGAGCAACGAGCAAAACAGAACCCCGGACAGTTTTTGGAACTTTATAAATCCCGGTCGGACCGATATTTTAGGTCTCAATAAGAGGACAAGTCCGGGAAAAATACGGCGTCTGGTCACCATATTAATATTCTAACGCATACGGCCGTCGCACAACCTGTAATGTCGGCCGAGTGCGTTACAATATATTCATTTAACATGTGCTGCGTATGAACTGCAAGTTTTAATTATTGAACTGAAATCTTCGTGCAATAATAGAATTGCAACAAAGCCTGATGTTTATGTTTTTTAAGGATAAATTGCTTTGGGGACACAGGTCTGAATCAGGAAGCTCACGAAGTGTGAGACAATTTTATTTACAGAGAACGTAACAGAAAACTCACAGGCGCACTCTGGGGGATACAAGACTTCCCAGGGGCAAAAGGACTCCTACTGCAATGGGGCCAGATGATCATGCACAGAACAGTAACAAAATCAATATAACATAGATGATTTACATACAAAATCCGCCAGTATATCTACAGAGCCCAGTATCCGTTACATGACGATATTGCTAAATCCCCAGATTCCGTATTAAATTACAACGAGTCAGTATTTTTTTTATGTCATCTGTGGTTTTATATTTTTTCATTAGGATTTTCTTAGACTGCATTACAGGCTGTACGAAACGTGCTTTATCTTCATGTAGAATACGACCAGAGACAACCCTGTTAACTCAATATACAACATGACTTCATTTAATGTGAAATAAAACGACATTTTATTTTTAAATCAGAACTCTACATGGTTTTAGGGGGCGGATAAAGAATGGGAGCACAAGAAGAAAATTACTGCAGGAAATGAGGTGGCGGAAGAAAATGATTTGGTCAGAAACTTTCTTATTCTTAACACAAACACAAATTCCAACATACCATACAGAGTGTGTGCGGAGGGCATTATTATTATTATTATTATTATTATTATTATTATTATTATTGTGTTCTCTTCCACAAACGTGCTTTGAGAGGAATGTCTAAAACAGCTACAGTATGTACTGTACGTGAAATGACTTTTTTAAGGAAGTATTATCACTGCTACTGACAATGCTACGACTGCTACTGAATTCCATTAGCTCAAAATGATCTGGGGTAAAACGTGATAATTACTTGAATGTTTCCTTAGTAAGACAGCTGACCCTCAATGTCTGGCTCGGATCCACTCTTCAGTTCGCTTGCTCGTCCGTTACAGTGTGTTGGCCTAAAGGTGTTGCGACTCAGGTGCAGTACTACACGTACTGTAGCTTCTCTAAGTACGCATCTAGTAAGGGCGAGTCAGCGAAAGAGGAGGTGTAGTTAGTTACACGTCACGTTAACGTTTTGTTTATTATTTTTATTATGAAGTGCGCAGTAGGCTATGTAGGCTACCTGTCACTATTTATTGCGGAACGGTCATATTCGAGGCTTGATGATGACCCGTTTAAATAAAAGGCGGAGACGCTGGAGGTTCACATACCCTGTACTGAATGGTTTAGTTTAAATTACTGTACTTACCGAAAACGAGACTCCTGGAGTTTGCAAAAATACTTTTGAGCTCTGTTGTGCACTTCTGAATATAAATTGGCGACCATATAATATATAAATTAGATATAAAACACTATATAGTTTTTAAATGTAAAAAAATCTTCAAAACAAAGTTTAACTAACAAAACACGTTCAATAATTTAGAATGTGTTTAAATCTGATTCCAAATATAAAATATAATTGGAATATGCGACAAAAGAATTAAAATATTTACGAGTCGTATTTCAGCAGGGTAAAAGAGCAGAGATTAACCCGTATGTTTTACCTGGACTACCGGCGTGGTCAGTACAATAAAAATAAAAATCTTGCCGGAGCGTTAATTTTCAATATTCTTCGTGGATGGTTCGTTTGTAGATAGTTTACGGTTAATCATTAATGCTGTTTTATTTTAGTGTACCGGTAGTTTCGCAGACCTATGCATATGATTAAGGTGATGCTCTATGTGAACCTACTGTAGAACCCTGAAGGCTCTCTATTCGCATCCCAGAGAATGTTTTGTTGAGGTTGCCTTGGTAACGTAGGTGCCATATACTACACCTTGCATATCATGAATAATTTATGCCGCAATACAGATCACCTTTGTCACACTAAACGTTCATGCTGTGTGCATTTCAGAATTAATTGTTCGGCATTTTCGTACTCTTTTTGCGTTTTACGTTCTCTCTGGCCGCACGAAATCACACCATCATTATCCCACGTGTCTCTTAAACCAAGCGATAATACACATCAGGAAAATATAGTTACTGTAAATAGTAACTATATCAGTAAATATAGTAGCTTTCAGAATCCGAAAAATTACTCTTCGTTTAACAATATTCCAGTTGGAAAAAAAGAGGCTACAGTGTTTTAAATAGTTTGTATTCATGAACATGTTCAATTATGCTACCTGCACAGACTGGGAAATGAATACTGTGCTTGTAATTGAACAAAATAAATGACCTGCAATAATAATTCCCATTATTAAAATGTTTTTGGTAATTACCTTACTTTTAGAATCCAAAGTCATGCACACCACAAAAATAAAGTAACTGGTTGAGTGAAGAAACCTACAGTATATAGTGCACAATATTCATTTAAAAGAATGATTGGGACGTCTGTGCTATTTAATACCTTAACCATGTATAACATCATCAACAGTAAAACCTTCGTAATGACGTGCTTATGTTTTTCCCTGGAGCTGTAACGTACTAAACAGTGGTCTACAATGCCTTATTTACTTTCTGCAGTTAATAAGAGATAATATAGGGTGGGAGACTAAAAGCAATTTTATTATCTAAATGGTTAAAACTAATGCTGAGTTACAAAATGTTTCTGACTTAGTTTTTTTTCACTTGCTTGTAGCTTTATTCAAAGGACTCATCGAAATGTTTTATCCAATACAAGGTTGCGTAAGAACTGGAGCCTATCTCAGGACGCAACAGCTGGATGGCAGGACACAGCTTGGATGTATGTGATTATTATATAGTTATTATATAATAATATAATAACTATATAGTTATAGTTACTATTATAACTAAATAAATCAGTCCATCAGGGCAGACAGACATAGACACACACACACTCCCAACAGGGTCAGTTAACCTATCTGTATGTGTTTTGGACCGCGGGAGGAAATCGGAGCACTCAGAGGAACCTCACGTGAATGCAGGCAGAACACACAAACTCCACACAGACAGCACCCCTGGTCCAGAATTGAACCCAGGACCTCAGCTGGGTGAGGCTACGACACACACACATTTGGGTGTCAAATTAGACATGCCAGTTAAGCTGGGCAGCATGTCATAGGACTGCTAGAGGAAATCCGAGTTTCTCTGAACAAAACTGCAACATCAACAACATGCAAATTCCACACTAGGCAGAGTCTGTGAGGCACAAGGGTAAACCACCACTGTGCACCACTGTGTCTCCCTCTTCAGATGTGGGTCTTATAATTTTGTATTGTGGTTCTCATTTCCAACAATTTCACCAGAGACTTCAGATCTACTGTAGGTTCGTATCCAGCAACCATGCTGTATATTACAAAGATAATTCAGTGAGCTTGCTAAAAATTCAATTTTTCTCTTATACAAGTATCTGATTTTTTTTCTTTTTTCCTGATATCTTTATTGTAATGCTTGCTGTTATTCACAGAGCAGTGAAGTGTGATTTGGTATTAAAGTCATCCCCTGAGGAGGCTTCTGACCTGCACACAACATTTGTTGGACCCGTACCAATTGAAAATATTGCACTGCAACGAAAATAAACTGAACTGCACAGCCTGGGGCTTTCCAGTTGCTGGACATTATTTCCACTTATGACCTAAAATTGAACATAACATATTTTGTCCAGAATTTCTCAAGTGTTTGTCTTTATGGTGGTGTTGATGTTTTGGCAAATTATGTTCTGTGTTGCTTTTGCGAATGTTCATTGGGAAAATTTATCAACCTATTTTAGATAGCACAATAATATACTGTTATGCAAACAGTACATTATTCTAACTAAATAAATCAATATATTAGTATATAAAACCCAGGCCTGTGTCATTTAACCCACTAAATGTGTCTTAAGTAAGGTTTACACAATCATGTCATATGTAGGTTTTATTTTCTCTTTTTGTTCACTGAGTTAATAGGTGTTTTTTCTCTGTCAGGTAACTCTGAAACCAGATGATATCAGGCTACACATAACATTAATCACCTACCTTCAAAGTTAAAATATGATTGAAAGAATCGGTTTCAGAAGAATGTATTTTACAACTTCATTCCACATTCACAAGAATTAATATCCTGCTGTCCTAAAGAATAAAAAGAAAAGTATTTTTCAAATTGGAGGTTATTTTCTAGTCCCAGACAACAACATGTACTTTTGCTAGAAATGAATACAAATCACATAATGTATTTTAAAGTACAATTTAGTTAACATAAACTCAGTTTGAAACAGGGGCATAGCCACCAAACAGGGTGGGCCTGCCTGGTTGATCCTAGGCATACCCAATCAGTCCAAAGTAATTTAAGATTTTTTCCCCTTGTTTGCGTTACATGTTTTGCTTTTTGATGTTACGTGTTTGATTTTTTTCATCGTATGTGATTTGCTATTGGCTCGCTGTAGCTTTCGCGATCAATAAGAAAATTATGCAAATATATGGAGCGGTGCATGCGTAGCCGTAGCCTAATTGGCTATCGTTGTTGTCAGACACTCTTAGAGCTGTCTAGCGCTGGGGTTTTGGTTTATTAGCCAACATGGCCAAACAAATGCATATATGCCACCCCACCTGACCAGACCGACTCGGAAAACAAATTGCCCCCATTGTTTTAATCACAATCAGGTGTTCAAGTACCGAGTTTGTTGGTACCTTTAAACTTCCCTGTAGATAGTCAACGAAAGCACAAACACTACTTACAGCGACACAAACGTAGCGCTAACGATTGCGGTGAATTTCGTCGTTTGTGCTGTCTGTAGGGGGGCCAACTTCACGGAGCTCAAGGAAAACCCTGCATGGTATTTTAAATACAATATTTCGGACGGATTTTATTTATAACACCATAGGGTGAAATTAATGTTTTGATCTTAAATTGTGCATTTTGAAATATGGCCTATTTAAGAAAGTGAGGGTTCAGGGTATATTAGAGGTGTAATCAGAGAAAATTGTCAAATGAAATCAAGTTCAGAGTTCAGAGTAAACATGCATATATTGATAGAGTAAATGAGAAGTAACTGTCAGGGGTAGACATAGCATGAGGTATATTTTCCATCATCATTAAATATGAATAATAATAATTCACAACTCAGAAACTTTTGAAATATGTATTTTAACTCAGCCACAAGACAACTTCCCCGACGTGTATTTTGTAAGAACAGTGAATGAACCTCAGTACCATAGCTTGTATAATTGTAGTTCTGTGTTTTTAGAATAGAGAACTGTTTTTTTCTATGGATGTTTTTAAACTGACTAATCTCTATCAGTCACAATTATTGTACATGGCTGCCTTGTCAAAAAGTCAAATATGTTCAATGGAATTTTATTGTTGCACATCGATCCCACTCTAAGGTAGGCTAAAAATAACGTTAAATATTTTAAATGCGCCTTATATCGAATTGACAGCTTAATTAGTTTAGTCGATCAGGTGCTGTGGGCGATAATCTGCGACAGGTGAACTATTTAATGTGGTAGATGTAGTGTATGGGGAGTTTTGTCTTTGTCATGGACATTTAACTTTGAACAGCAATTGCTTGTGTGTGTGTGTCCAGGGGTCTTGAATCTGTGTTATGTTTGGGTTAGTGCGATACTTTTAAAGCAAATAAACAACCCTGCTTCACCAGCAAATGCTAGTTCTGTGAAAAAGGCAGATATGTTGACTTCCCCGAATTTAACACTGTCGTGGGAAATCGCCAGTACCATAGGATTGAATTTAAGCAGCGCCGAACTTCAAAGACACATGGAGCTATCTCACCGTCCCATGAAAATCTGTATTATATCTGTGTTAGGAGCTCTGATCATTCTGGGGAACGTGGCTGTGATTTTGGTTATAGCATCTTCAGTGTCTGGTTGGTCGAGGAACACTCGGTACTTTTTAATCTCTCTCACGGGGGCAGATGCCGCGCTGGCGCTAGTTGTGATGCCTCTGAACCTGTACGTGAGTCTCGTCAAGGACAGAGAAGACCCAGACCCGTACTGCCATGCTGTGGCTTTCTTCAACTCCACGGTCTACGCCACCTGTATCTACTCGCTGGCTACAATAAGCCTTGAAAGGTACATCGCGGTGTTCTACCCGCTGAAGTACACCACCGTGATGACGAAAAACAAGACTAGAGTCCTCATTGCTTTCGCCTGGTTTTTCCCACCGGTGGTGTTGGTCCCCATCTCCATTCCCGACGGAATCATCAAAGTTTACTTCTCCAGCGCGTCCTTAGTTTGTAATCCGGTTTACTCCACCAACGTGGCCTACTCGCTGACTTTAACCTGCCTTATATTCTTCCCTTGTTCAATCGTCATGACTTTCGCCAATTGTCGGCTCTGGGTCGCTGCCAGGAGACAGAGGCACAAACTGAAAAACCGCGATTTGCGCGGCCGCAGCAGACCGGACTCGGCTTCCCGTGTCCTGGTGCCAGTAATGATTGTGTACTACACGTGCTGGACGCCATGCATGATGACCATCCTGTACACAGGTAAGAATACAGCTTTCTGTATGATTGCTTTAGATCGGAAATGTGACACCCATCTGCTTATACTAAACACCCAGATTTGGAAATGCCCAATGATGTACTGTACTGTATATGCAGTGCCTTTCAAATACATACACCTCTTTTCAAATGTATGAATCGCAAAATATATATATATTTTTTTAGACTGAGCAATTCTCAAACAGAATGCTTTTATTGGTGATAAGCGATCCCAAGCAAGTTGAGAGAGTTTGGGCAAATCTGAATGGGCCCAAATTATAGTAAATCGGTGTGCAAAGCCGAGATTGACGACTCCCCCCCTCCAAAGAAAAACACTTGCTGCTGTAATTGGTGCCAAAGGTGCTTGTCTCAGTACTCACGCTATCAACACATTTCAGTTTTTTTTCTTTAAATGTTTCTGCCAACATTTACTGTGACTTATCTTTCCCTTAGAAATCTTGGGTTTGAGTATTCTCAAAAACATTCCCATAAAAGTGTTTACATTTTCTATTTCAAATGATGTGTCATCATTGGAAAGGGGTAAATACATTTGCAAAGCATTGTAGGTATTAGGGCGAATCACGATCTTGATAATTGTTCTTCAGCTTAATTATGGTTTGAATCTGTAAATCTCCTCCGTCAGCAGTTGTGGGGAAACCAAGTGCAGGTATAGCCCCATTACTCTTTCACCAACACCAAGTGTTGTCTATATGTTTTATACTGTATGTACTACAGTATAAGTGATTTTTGCTCCTATCATTAATTTTAGCCTGGAATGATTTCTGAACATAATGGAATTGTCCGAGTGAATTGTTTGTATAAAATGTACATTTCCATATTTTGTGGCATTTATTTCTTCATGGTTTTAAGACCTAAAATCATACACCGTCTTATGCCATTGAAAGAAACGGTTCTAAAACGGTATCCTAGGCATTGGTAGTGTCGGTATAGTCTGCACCAGAGGAGACCAGTATTGGTGTCTTTCAATGCAATGACATGCTGTATGCTGTTTCTGGGACAGAGGGCGGGGAAAATCATGATTGCTTTTGACCCCGAACAAACAACGGAAAGGTGTCCCTTTGTTTTTCTCCGTCCCGTCAGCAATTTCTGGCACCGCGGTCCCAGAGTGGCTGGAGTTTGTGGCTGTGTGGCTGCCCAGTGCCAACGGCTTTCTCAACTGCATCGTTTACTTCTGGATCAACCACAGCTTCCGCAGGAAGTTCTGCCTGATGGGGCACAGGCTGTGCCTGCAGCTGTGCCCCGCGGTTGGCAAGGTGGGGGGGTACCGGGCTCCGGGCGGCGTGAGCGTGGTGGGCAGTGCCTGGGACAACAACAACTCTCTCCAGGAGCGCTCCTGCAGCGTCTCCTCCAACTGCACGCTGCTGCCGCAGGTCGTGGAGAGCTGCATCTGAGGCCCGCAGCCCAGGAAGCCTTCAAGCCACTGTACCTGAGTGAAAGTGGCTGATATACTGTACCATATAACCAACTGGTTCCAAGGAGCTACTTTGGAAGAGTCGCCAGACACAACTAATCAACCATTAAAATCACTGGATACTTCTGCATAGTTGAAGTTGGTTTTCCGTTGTTTTGTTGCTCTACCTCCGTATTATCCCTAATATGAACTCTGTAAAGGGAGGAAATTACCCACCACGCAGTAGACAGTGGAACCCAGCTGTGCTGTATAGTGGCTCTTTAAACGCCAACATGCGCTGACATCTCCTGGGGTGTGGGATTTAGGATGTCCTCTCATTTCTTTTTCTTATTTGTTCATTTTTATGTTTTTTTTTGTGTGGGTTTTATTTTTGTTTCCTCTGAAGGTAAATGTATCCTGCATCATCTCTCCAACCATGTTTGTTATCAAAATGGTCCCAATTACAGCAATTTATTTCCAGGTACGATTTTTTATTTTTTAGTTCAGCGTTACGGCAGCCTTACGTTTGCCTCAGAAAAGATAGAAATCTTCCGTTTTTCAGAATGGCATGTTTCTGGGCTGGCATTTCACGTACAGTATAACTTGCTATTTGGGATACCTGAAGATGGGATCTAGCAGTTGAAACCATTGAAGAAAAATGAATATTTGGCTTTTATTAGCATGGGCAAGAGTCTTGCAAATCCTGTTATATTTATTTTTAAACATCAAAATTTAAAACTGCCTGAGTCTTTCACAACTAATTTCTAAATTTACTAAAACCCACAGTTGACAGTGCCGAGCCATAGTTTTTGATTCTCGTCCATTATGACAAGTCACGTTTCTTCTGCTAGGTCTCAGTTTTCATTAAATATCTGTTGAACGGTGGAGCATATCATTAAAAATGCAGTTTTTGAATGTTTCAGACATTAAAGCATGGCAGTAATGCAGGGCACTGATGATGATACTTTGTCTTCAACGAGGAGAACATAAAGTACTGTAGACCCTTCCTTACAGCAGTTTTCTTTTTGATACTCTGGCTCTTTGTTTTTAGTAAACACAGAGTTCACATGAAATGCACATTAAGTCACAATGTATTCATGAATTATTCAAATTTGCCTTATTCTTTGTAAATAGCTGTTTCTGTGTTGTAAAGTTGTTACTGATCTTTTGTTGTTAACTGTCCACATACATTTTAGCTCCTTTTTTTCCCCACTGGTCATGCTGCATCCAGTTCAAATTCAGATGGCACTGTTTTGGTTCTTGCATAGCACAGGTTTGAGTGAATTGTGCAGAACGGATAAATTTTATATGATCTCTCTGCACTTTGCACATTGGCAAATGTATCTCCATTTCTGTGACAGTAGTGGATGATACTTAATGAATATCGACCTTTCATACAGAAAAAGTAGGATCCATTAACATCACATAAAGAGAATCATAGGGACTGGCAACAGCATGGTATATTTCGTCCCTGTAAAGCGCTAGTGAAACAAGGAAAAGTCCTCTCTCCCTAAAGGGTCAGCCAAGAACAGTTTTCCTTCTATTTGAATCTGAAAGTATAGCTAACGTTTTTATCAACATGTTTTATTATTAATCTTGATGGACTATTGTAGGGCGCTTTATAATTTTCTGGTATACATCCCTACCTGTATATAGTTCTTTTATTACTACTTTTAGAAGCTAGTTAATTGGCTAGTGCTTGAGAATGTCAAAGGGTTCCACATTTTGCAAACACTATGATGGAGCTATAACCAATGTACCAGATAGCTGATGGAGCCGTTACACAATATAGTTAGGTAATTGGGAAGTTTTGTTGGATAAGCCATGTTCCATGCCCAGTATGTTCATGGTGCTTTTTGATGCAGAGCTTTTCTTTGCAAGAATTCTAGAAAAAGGCTTCACAATATGTAAGAGGTGTATATAGCAGGTCTATGTCAACAGAGTCAAATGTGTTCTCTGCTCATTCCCACCCCATCCCTCTAAGTGACAAAGAAATATTAACAGAAGGGATCTTTATGTTTGCATGTGTCCTGCAGCTTGTGACAACATGTGATTTGTGAAAATCAGCTAAAGCTTTGCTTTGATGTCCTTAACCAGAACATAGACACACACACTATGCATGTTAATGGAAGGATTGTTTGCAGAAAAATTGACAAAGGCTTCATGATAGGGAATCCAAACCCGTGAAATATGACAATTCAATGATAAAAAAAGGTTATTCGCGGTCAGATACAGAAGCAAAAAGTATATTGATGCTTGTTTTTAAAATGGCAGATACCTACTGTATATAATGTCCTCCCATTCGAAAATGGTAAATGCTGTTTTGTACATTTTTAATTGCAATGTTTTAGACTGAAGCTACAGTGACAGTTTACCAGCTGAGGTAGGTGTATTCCATCCAAGTTCTGTGTCTGGAGGATTTCATTCTTTCTAAGCTCTTTGGAATGATCTGTTAATTAAGCCTAAGCTGCATAATTGGTCCTTTTCATTGTAATCCATTTCCAGGGAAATGCACATAAAATAGTAAGAATAAGTAACCTGCAACAAATGGCCCTCTTTCCAAAACACTTCAGGGCTTAAGGTTGCTAAAGAAGCAGCAGAGATTTAAACACCTAGGTATTTTGAATATCGGGCCCAATAATTTTTGGAGCTAAACTGCAAAGGTTTTTTTGAGCAATGTTTTTGACTCAAGATTATTAAATACTGTATCTCAAAGCTCAGGTGAATTGAAAACCAGCCAACAATGTTTTGTTTCCAGATCTGGGCTGGAAGTACCTGAGATATAGGGTTTAGGCTCAAATTCTGCGGAGACCATCAGCTTCAGGCTGTAATCATTCACCGGTACAGACTTGTCACCTGGGAATAAAAATCAGTGTCACAATGTGCAGACTTTGGTAGTTTTCTCCCAAATTCATGTATTCCACTTGTATTCCTTAAAAGAGAGTTGTTAAAAATGTAGCATTTGAATGTTTTAGATTGGAGTGTATTAAAAAATTAAGAAACTTTCAATGTCAAAGTGCTTATTACTTTTTGCTTACTGTAAAAGTTTAATTCGTAAGAAAATAAAGCTTAATGCCTTAGATTAATTTTGTCCCCCTTATTTTTTTAAGTCGTTCAATCTTAAGAAAGTTCCAGTTGCCCTCTGGAGTTTTCTTTTAGTTTTGTTAGAAAACTCAGAATATCCCTAATTTTATATTGTTACACAGCCCTTCTTTTTATTTTAATAGGACAGTTTTATGCACATAACCTTCAAATACTGAAACTGAGCAAGAAAGTTTTAAACTAGTAAAGGGTAATATGTGTCTATGTGTGCTTGCTTCCTTTAATTAGTCTCTAGTTACTTAAGTCCATTAACTATTTATTAAACTAAGAATTACTTATTTGCAGATTTTCATTCTATAGTTTTTTTTCTGCCTTAAAGTGAATAATGTGAAAGGCTAAATCATTTCCAAATCCAGCAGTCTGACAGCTTGAGGTTTAATTTTTAATGGGGTGGGACAGGGAATTTAATTTTCTATTGGTAATATATTACATGACAACCTGCAACTGAGACTGTAGATTTAGTGAGACGTCAATTTCCACTTAGGCCTTACTGTGCAAAAGACTGCATTCGCCTGTGGAGAAGTCCCATGAAACTAAACTTATGTAACATCTGTCTTGTTTGCCTTTCATCTCTAGACATTTTTTTTAATATGAAGCTGTTGAAAGTGTTACTCTTGTCTGTGATTCATGTCTGACAGCACACTTCATGTTTATATTCCACTCAAGAGTCAAGAGTCAAGAAATACGTGGAGTTACAGGTACCCCTCAGAACTCAGTGAGTGGGTTTTAATGTGTCACAGGGGAAGGAGATATTAATCTAGTGGCAGTGGTACAGGACAGTGAAAGGGGTTTGGAGTTATCCCCATCACATACAGTACACAGAAAGAGGCATGTCATGCTCTATACAGTCCTGTGAACAGTGATTGATCCATCCACACTTACTGGACATATCAAAAGTGACATTAATTAAATAACTGAACATCACTCGTCTTCCATTGTAGAGCTACCAAGTTTTATTTTACACTGCATTACTGCCTTGTTAAAATTATTAGGGTGCCGGCCTACTTATCCTTGTAAAAGGAGTCCTAAGTGTCACACGAACAACTTAAAGCTTTTCTTCACTGTGGAAGCAGCACTGAGAAAACCTGTAAATAGACACAATATCAAATGTGCTTTTTATAAGCTCTAAAAGTACCACTGTGCAAATTATATCAATGTCTGAAAGATTTTCCGATTGCTCTAGTTTCCTCGTGCTTCCTACAACTAGATTCCATAAGATGAATTTAGATTTGCCATTCTGCATTCTCCAGCAGTTCCTCTTTCTTGTTCTAGGACTTTAATAGGATTCTCAATTCATACTGTATATGGACTACAGCTTCAGTGACAGGTATAATTTCTAGAACTTAGCATCTAGAATTTAGAATTTAGAGTTCAGTGTCTTCATAGTCTGAGTTCTAATGAGCACCAATTATGTAGATTGAATTGAGATTGTTTTAATCTGTAAAAAAGTTAAATAATCTTATATAGGTTATTAATTCGGAAAAATAATGGCTGTTAATTTTATTTAAACATTTCTTTTAGCCAAATAGCGTTAGTGGAACATGATCGCCCTTGAGAACAGGGACTGTGCGTTACTTGCTTCAGCAGATGTCTTGCAGCTGTTTGATTTTAATTATTAGTGTTTTCTTGCTAGCCGAATTTGTCTGTTATTCTCCATTTATATCTCTTCATTTTAAAAGTGCAAAATTCCATTAACATGCCTCCAGTATTTACAGAATAGGTATGGCAGACAGATGACAGACAAATTGGAGTTGCAGGCATTAGAGCCTGAATGTTGCTTCTTTCTCTAGAAATCAAAAGCCTCCATTGCCAGACTCCTTGGGGGTTAGGAGCTGGTTGAGTTTAATTGCTCGTTGGTCTGTTCTCCTGCCCTGGCCTGTCTTTTTTTGTAAAGACTGTTCCCCTAATGTCCTGCTTCATTAAAGAACACAAGGATCTTGATTTTTAACAAGACAAACTTCACTAATTGCTTCTCCTGAGTATTCACAGCTGTGCTTCCTTCCATCTAACGTGCTGAAAGTAGTTCCAGTTTCACCAGGAGCTTGTTTGTCTCACATTAAACTTTTGTACACTCTGTATGTTCGAAAATGGATTCAAGACTTGGAACTTCATGGCCATAGGCTGCAGTATATATATTTATTAAATATAGTTAATTTACACAGTAATCACAAACAACTTTTGTAATTTGGATTTTTTACTACTGTATATCTTTACATGGATTAAAGCAAAGATGTTCTATCAACTGTTTTTTCTTCCTGTCCAGTCTTCATTTGTCTTAGAAACAAACACAATCTCTCCCATAATCATCTCTCAACGTAAGCTAATTATGAATTGAGGGATGTATTTATATGAACCAGGTGGATCACTGTTTATCTCTTCTTGTTTTAGTCAAATGTTCCCTAAGATGTTAAATTTAATTGCAGTCGTGTTGCTTTTTAGAAATGTGTGGTGCATTCCAAAATGTTTTTCATATAGAATAATTTTTGTTTACAAAGTCTTCTATGAGACTGCAGTATCTCATGCTCAAAGTAACCAGTCTGTGCATGATTAGATCATTTATATTATCCTACTGTACAGTGTCTCTGATTAGGGTACTCGGACATGGACTTGGACATTCAGTGCCATTTACTCTCCTCCAACACCCCACACCGCAGCAACCCTGTTTGCCCAAGAGCTTTCGCAATCCTGGTTCTGAGCAGCTCAGTCTTGCTTAGCTTCTAGAATCTGATGTGATCAGACTGGAAGGTTTTAACATTTCTTTCATAAACGTACGAAACCTGCATTGAAAATGGTTATTAGTCTCCTGTGTCCCAATGCAAAGTGCGAATGACAATTACAGCCAATTTTAGAAATGGTGAATATTAGTTTGGCCATGACTTCAGTCAGAAGTTATTTTATAAGTATGCAATTTCTTTAATTTAGGATGATAAACATAGTGATTATCTTTACTTTAAGTCTGGTGAATGAGCATGGTTTTTTCCGTTTTTTTTTTTGTCCATCTGCCCTTTGCCAGGAATGAGCGACAGGGTCTGGTATTATGAAGACGTGCAGCAGCAGCTGACAATATGATCGGAGCTGTCTGTGAGCTGCCGTGCCGAGCACAGGCTGCGAGGAAGTGTGATGTTACTTGTCAGTTCAAATATCACATTGGCTCCCTGAATGCAGATGCATTACAGATAGCTGGTCAGGCATAAAATCCACATCCCTCAGCATGACATGGGGATATTTATCTGGGATTTCACAATGCAGGGTGTAGGCTCTGCCTGAGGGAGAATAGTCACAAAATCATGTAAATAGATGAAATTATTATAGTTAGGATTATAAAAGCTGTAATCCTATTAGGACATAGTATACTACAGGATTTCACTTTTACCTCAATGAGAATAACAGTACATCTTGTAGCAGAAAATGCTGAACTCAGCTGATGAGACTGATTCTGAAATGACAGCTACTGCACAATATCTAATGTGACTCTGAAATACTTCTGATTTATAGTTTTCTGTAGGTTTTTTTCCTTCTGATCTTTCAGAATAAAGGAAGCCTGTATGTTAAAATAGGAGTGTAAACTGCATACAGTCCACGTAAGCACATGTAAAACCCTTGGTTAAAACTCTTTATTCAGGCATTATTAAACATTTGTCTTCATTTCGATAGACATTATTGTAGAGGGTAATAGGTACACAAGTTACCCTATTTTATTGTGCATAACTATATAATAATATCGTATATCAGTGAAAGTGACTATTTTTAATCAAAACTTCAACATTCAGATGAATCCGTGTCATTGGTTGAATGAAAATCCATCCATCTATTTGTTTACTGCTTCTTCCAATTCAGTGTCACAGGGGAGTCGGAGCCTATCCTGGCAAGCAACAGGAATGTGTCCAGAAGAAAAAATAAAATGTTAATTGCATGGGTCATTTGGGCATTCATATTTTGATTAAATTTACTTTAAAATTGTTTACTTTCGACGAACACTTATGCAAGGCACTGTAAGTCTATAAGATCTACAGCTTTCCTTTGTTGATCTTTTAACACTACGGATTTAGTGTTGTCTTTTATAACGATAAAGGGAAGGGAGTCACAGAGCAAAGAAAAACAATGGAAAGTAAAGTAAGGCACAAAGATAATTCCATGAGCTGGTCTGCTCATCAGTCAGACTTCAACAAAAATCACTGCAGAATTCTTACCATATCGACCTCAAGAAGAAGCTGTCATGTTTTATAAATGGAAAGTCCAATGTGGTCAGAAGGCCTTTTTTGAGTATTAAAACCTCTTTTTATATTTCTGCATGTTAAATATGAACAATTATTAATATTACAAAGCATCATTTACTGTAAATTGATTAAATTGCATTTAGTAAGAGGTTCAAGCAAATTAATGGTGGACAATCATGGAATCAGAGGTCTCTCGCTGCATGTCGTCTAAGAATAACTGAAGAAATGGCAGAGTCTTTATGTACAGTAGATAGCATTACAGTATGTCTGTAGATTTTATTTCAGTGCTTGTCCAGGCTCCACATGCTGTATGTGAGGAATCAAACAGCATCTGCATTCTGGTGCAAGCATGCATTGTTGATGTACAACAAGTTTGTAATGCTTTCAACAGTTTGGTGGATTACAACAGAAGATATGTAACAAATTATAAAATTATTAAAGGTGTAAAATGACACATTAGTGATTAGACCAATCAATGGGGAAGTGAGAGTACGATGGTCTGAGCAGGCATGTCTAGAAGCTACAGAGCTCCTCTTGTGGTGGTAGGTGACAATGTGCATTATGCAATACTGTAGATGTCCAACTCACCAGACAGGAGATTTAGATTGTCTGAATTCGATGCAGTTGTGATAAGTTTCTTTTTTATTCTCAATATATTATCCAGTGATTCTGTATAATCCTGTT